CATAGGGGAAAGGAAAGAAGGGAAAAGAAAAAATATGAGAAAAGGAAAAAAATGGAAACAAAGTCTTTGTAAATAGGGAAGGGTGTAGGGAGTGAAGGGAGGGCAGGGGAAGGGGAAAAAAATAAGAACCAAGAGATTCATGTAATGGTACAAGATCCCAATGATGAATGTAACTGTATTTTACATCTAAAATGTACCAATAAACTTAATGGGGGAAAAAAACCAAGAGAAAAGTCATGAAGGAAAAGAAAATGACAGTAGGGAAAGAAAAGAGATAAATATAATTGCCTGTAAACATTAAGCCTTTTGCCAGTGGCATGTGAATGTCCTTGGAAGCACACTTTCCAATTCTAGCCAATGTTCAGAAACTGTAGCTCTGGTCAACAGCTTATTACAACCTGAGTCTCTGAAGGGAACCCTTGAGTTAAGCTGTTGATCTATAAGAACCGTGAGATAATAGATATTAAGTTGCTGCTGCTAAAGTTGAGGGTAAGATATAACTAAAAGGATAATTTTTCTTCTCTAATTTTTTAACTCTGCTTCTTTCTCTTTGTTGTTTGATCAGAGCATACATCTCTTGGCTAATTTTGCTGCAAGATCCTGTTTGCTCTTACTTTTTTTTTGGTACCGGGGATGAACTCAGGACCTTGCACTTGCCAGGCAGGCATGGTGCCACTGAGCTAAATCCCTGGGCCTGCTCTTACTTTTTTTTGAGACAGGGTCTTGGTATGCCTTGAACTCATTTGTAGCAGGCCAGCCTTGAACTTGGGGTAATCCTCCTTCCTCAGCCTCCTGACTTGTGGGATTCCAGGCGTGTGCTACCATACCCAGCTGCTCTTTTTGCTTCTAAGCTTGTCTCTTATCCTGTTTCTGTTACACACACCTACATCATCTGTCTGGACATGGCTTTTCTTTAGTGTATTCATACTTGAAAATTTATATCAACTCATTTTTTTGCAAATAAATGTTCAAGAACCTATATTGCTGCCTTTCCCAAATTAGTGTTGAGATTTACCATTCCCCGTGAGGGTATATGCTGTTTCCTCACCTGCAACTTGGTTTTCCCTTTCTTTGTGTCTTTTTGTATATATTTGTATAGAGCAGATGGCATGTATCATGTGTACATATTCCTTAATTCTCTTTACCACTTTTTTTTTTTTGGTACCAGGGATTGAACTCAGGACCTTGCGCTTGCAAGGCAGGTGGTGGAACCACTGTGCAAGTTCCCAGCTCCCTCTGCCACTTTTAAAACCAAACTCAAACTATTACTTTCAAGGGTCTTACTAGTTAGCTCACTCGATTTTGCTTATTTTATTTTCTTAAAGTTGTATACTGGAGATAATTTTTCTGTTAATTTTTTTGGGGAGACTGGAAATTAAACCCATAGCTCCCTGTATGCTAAGCCGGTGCTACCACTGAACTACTATCCTCCCACCCCCCATTTTTTTGTTTTCTTTTGGAGACAGGGTTTTGCTATGTAGTTCAGGCTGGCTTTGAACTTATCATGTAACCCAGGCTGGGTCAAACTTGGAACAATCCTTCTGCCTCAGCCTCCTGAATGCTGAGATTAGAGGTGTGCACCATTATGCCTGGTTCTCCTGCACTTATGAATCCATTTTTGCTTATGCAGCTTTTAAAATTTTCTTAGGTTTTTTCCTTGATGTGTGTCATTTATATTATAGTTAGTTTAAGGAACAGAAGCTTTGATTGTCCCTATTTCTGTGTTAGCCCCTTCCTGCACACTGCAAATAATAAATGTCCACTGATTGACTCATCACACACTTAATATGGTTTCTTATCCTGGCTAATTTGCTGACAGAAATAAGTTAAAATTTTGATCCATATTTTATATGTAAGTATGTTGACTTAAAATGTTCTATGTTAGTAGTAAAAACATCATTAAGACTAGACTTTGACATTTGATTTAGGTTAGTTGATCTATATCTTTGAGGGTGTTATCGCTATAGTTTTTAGTTGATAGTATTGAGTAAAGCAATCATATATAAGGTGGGAAGTGCTATCTTTTTATATACTTAGAAAGAAATTCAAATTAGTCTTAGCTTGTGACTCAAAAACATGGTCTTACCAAGAAGAGAAGAAAAATGTAATCTATATGATCAGGCCTACTAGGGCAGTGATTAATGTTATGCTGAGGCTCTTACCAGCCATGCAATTGCAAAGCAGCATCAGAACTGACACAGTAGATTTGTATTCAGAATAATTTCTGGGCCAGGATTTAGCTCAATGGTGCTGCTGCCTGCCTTGCAAGCTCAAGGTCCTGAGTTCGATCCCTGCTACCAAAAAAAAATTTCTGTTAGAAGAAAGGTATTTTTAATTTTTAAAACTCAAATGGAAGTATATAAATACATTGCATACCCCAAAGAATCCAATTAATTTTAATATTTTTCATTTTATGTAGCATTTTCTCAGTAGTTTTCATGTTGTACTGTATTACTAGAGTTTAGTCATGTGGGCCAGTAATAAAATCATGTTAGTAAGTAGTAATTCTTGACTAATTTATTTTCACTGTTTTATTTTGTAATATTGACTAAAACATTCAGCAGGAATCAATACTGCTCCAAGGGTTGGATAATTGGAGTAATTAAATGTATTAGGAAAAGAAATAAATTGTTAAATTGATTTTTCAGAACTTGACAGAAAAATTGCTGAAGAAAGAACTGGATTATACCCAGTTAGAGGAAAAGCATAATGAAGAGTCTGTGAGTAAGAAGAATATGCAAGCAAGCCTTCATCAAAAAGACCTCGATTGTCAGCAGCTGCAGTCAAGGTTGTCTGCATCGGAAACCTCTCTGCAGAGGATACAGGCAGAACTAAGTGAAAAAGGAGAGGCTGCCCAAAAGCTCAAAGAAGAGTTATCTGAAGTGGAGACCAAACACCAGCATCTAAAGGCAGAGTTTAAGCAGCTGCAACAACAGAGAGAAGAAAAGGAGCAGCATGGGTTACAGCTCCAAAGTGAGATCAATCAAGTAAGAGATGCTCCTTTACTCATTGTAATTCTGCCTATTTTCTTACAGTGCTGGGATGGTTGTTTGATCCTAATGCAGTTCATATTTTTAAAAAGTTATAATTTTAAAAATTAACTCTAAATTTTTAGGTCCTGTAAGTTTTGTCAGATCTCATTTCCTTTAATTTTAGTGTTCCTTAAGAAAAATAATAGTATCAGTCTTATTATTGTGAAACATTTATAAACTAAATCATATAAATTGCTTAGAAATAGACCTGGTGGCACTCCAGAGACTGAGGCAGGAGGATCTCAAGATTGCCTCAAAAAACCGAAAACCAAACCAAAACAAAATAAAAACCTACCCCCCCCCCCACAACAACACTGCCTGTCTAGGGCAATGCATAACACAGACACACACACACTGCTTAAAATGATAGTTGGCACATGGTACATATTTACTAGGTTTTAATTATTATATTTAATTCAATTGTTGGCCAATCTTATTTTAGAAATTCTTCTTTTTCTTTTTTGTTATCAAAGCCCTGCTTTGCTCTCTCTAGTAGTTCTTTATGGCATGCAGTGCCCCAGGGTCTTGTTGGCCTTCCTCTTCAGTTCTTTGCCATTCTTTATTCTCCACTGCAAGAATATAGAACTGTTCTTGGTTCTTCTCTTATGTGTTACATGGTATCTTACTTTTGTGGTGTAATTCTTGACCTGAGATATTTTTCCTGTTTCTCTTCACCTTGATAACTACTTACATCTCTTATCACTTTTCTAGAAATCCTTCATAACACTACCACTGATCCCCTATCCCCAAATAAAGCATGCGTATAAAGACTGTGAACTCATTGGATACAAATACATTATTTTTAAGTTTTTTATCCTCATTTTTTGTGACATTCCTTGTTAAACAGCAAATGTAAGTGAATGAATCATCGAAGGTATCATAATGGAAGGAAGTTGAGGCTTGGGAATATCACTGAATAACTTGAAAATAACTTATACATTTACCTTCTATACTTTCTAAATTTAGCATGTACACTAAAAGACACTATGCCTCATTTATTCAGGGATACAGAGATGAATGGGAAGTAGTATCTTCCTTTAATGATTCTGTAAATCTCATTGAGAGGATAAAATGTGCATTATCCTATAACCATGCTCAGGAGATTTATAACAAAATGATCTCATGTATTATGGGAATTCAGAAGAGCTTCTTTCCTCTGCTTTTTTTAATTCCACAGCACTGTGCTTCACCTTAATGCAATTATTTTATCCAATTTTGTAATCTGGAAAAGTGGTATGTGAGATATTTGTTGCTTGAAATTGTGAATGCTGGTTAGATTTTGACAAGTGGTAGTTTGAAAGCAGGAGAGTCTTTGAACTGGAAGGATTAATGAGAACAAACTAGTGGCAGGAAAATGTTATAAAAACCTTGAGGAGCACTGATTTTTTTCTTAGGATAGGGTATATGTAATAGGAATTGATTATTGTAACTGGCAAGAGCAGAGAATGTATTTTGTAGGGTATTTAATATCATAGTAGGCCTGGGAATTTGGGCTTCACTTGGTTGTCAGTATGTGGAAAAGCATTAAGAATTTTTGAGAACCTATTTAAACAAATACTAAGACTTGACTATACGATTAATTTAGTTTAGTCACAGCTTTATGCAAACTAAAGAGAACATGCTAAAGACCTTAAAGTGATACCACTTCATCTTTTTCAGTGTATTGTTTGGATTCTACCTTCAAAATAAGATTCACATTTGTTCACTTCTCTTCATTTGTACTGCCAGTGCCCTTCATCTAAGCTATGCCATCATTGATCAACCAGGGTACTATATTAGTCTGCTTATTAGTCTTCTTCTATAGACCTCCTTAGTCCATTTTCTATATAGAAGCCAGAGGTCTCTTTTAAAAACATGAAGTATGTTATTTTAATCCTCTGCTTAACATTCTTACCTGCTCATGTTTGAACTGAATCCATATTTCTTACTGTGGCATGTATGCACTGTGAAGCCGTGCTGATCTCTTTTTAGTTCCTCAAACATATCAACAGTTAAAGTGTTTTCTGCTGTTTTCAATTACCTTTTTTTTTCCTTCATAGAGTATGTGTGATCTGTTTTTCTTCAGGAGGCTAGTTGAGGTATCATTTCTGCAATAAGCTTCCAGGATTACTTTATGTAAATAGCTTATTTTTCTTATCTCCTGGACCTCTTTATCTCAGCAAGCTGTTTTTTCTTCTTCTGTATTGCACTTCACTTTTTTTTTTAGAGGTTTTTTTTTGTTTGTTTGTTTGCTTATATATTGTCCACCATCTGCATTGGCTTGTGAACTCTATAATTTGAAAAATGTGTTTTAGTCTGTAATATATCAGCCTCTGTATTGAAGGCTCTAAATAGTTACTTAGAATGGAAGTGAACTCACCTTCCCTTTTTTTGGTATCTGTAAAAAGTGAAGGCATGTACTGGGTTTATTTCACTCTCCATTCTATCCTAAGCACTCATTATATTGCTGGTAATTATCAATAAAGGTCTAAAAGACAAAGTAGCTCATATGCTTCATATATGCTTTATTGGCACTTTAAAAATAGCCACTGAAATGCAGGTAGTGATTTGTTACATAATTAAAAGGTTAGATTCCATCAACTTAATTATTAAAAATCTCAAATAGCACAGTGGTTTATAAGCATGGTCTTAAGAACCTTGGTTTCATTTAAAAGCCTGCAAATTGTGTGATCATGAGCAAGTTAATTTGTGCCTCATCACTCATCTATAAAATGAGAATAAATATGGAACCTCCTTCTTAGAATTGTTCTCAGGATTATACAAGTTATTTGTGAAGCACTTAGAAGTATGTCTGGCTCTAATTAAGCATTGTTAGGAGTATAAAGAATAATGAATTAAGTAAGTGTGCAAACTTAATTTATTAGAGAATATGAGATATGATTGAAAAATATGGTGGGTATTTAAAAAAATTACCACAGTAAAAGATACATCGCCATTAATCTTCATCAGCATACTCCTCCTTTATGCAAACATATTTCATCATTCTTCCCATTTTCTGAAGCCGCTCTGGATGTCCTCTTTTGTGAGTGTCTTTAGTTGTGCTGTTGTGGCTCTCTTGGTGTCCTGAATCTGAATCAATTGAAACTGTTTACCTCTAATGGTCATTTTGACTTGGGGCAAGAAATGTAACTCACATGGTGCCAGATCCTTTGAATAAGGTGGATGAGGACACACTGTAATGTTTTACAATCCAGCCTTTCCAGTGTGTCTTAATTACTTTCTCCTTGCTGGGACAAAATACCCAACACCCACAAGTTAAAGAAGGAAAGGTTTATTTCAGCTCACAGTTTATAGAGGTTTCAATCCAGAGTTGGCAGGTCAGCTTGGCAGAGGGGCATGACAGGAGAAACAGTCCATGTCAGGTAAGGCAGGAGGCAATGAGCAGCAGCAGCAGCATCAAGCCTCTCTTTCCCTTTTATCTCATCCTTTATAAGCCTTTCATTTGGTGCCACTCACACTCAAGGTGGGCCTTCCCATTATCCACACCCAGAACTATGATGAACCAATCAATGAACTAACCCAGTACCACACACCCTTAATCCCAGTATTACACGCCCTAGAACCACCTGACTCTGAAAGACTCACATATGAGTGCACAAGGCTTTGGGGGGATGTTTAGATACAAGCTGTAACACATTGAATGGCCATGGGCAGCAGCATTCACAGTAGCTTTGATCATACCTGGTTAAGACATGTAAGAGGACTTTCAGAATTGCTTCAGAAAGTGGCAAGAATGATGGAATAAGTGTGTTCTAAGTGACAGGGAATGTTTTGAGGGGGATTAATGACTGTGTCTTATTGTAATAAATTGTTACAATTTAAATGTTCACCATATTTTTGGTCACCTCTTGTATCATAATATTCAGGATAGATCATTCTGTTAATAATTACAATGTATATATTATTTTTACTTTTAATTTAACCTCTTCTTTTTACATTTTCACTTTAAAATGATATATAGGAATAATTGTTTATGTAGTGTTAGCCTGCCATTTTTAACATTTCTTTGTTAAAAATGGTTTATCAGGAGTCTTCCAGTGATGAATGACTACAAATTTCACTGGTTTCAAGACAATAGTTTTCTTTAATTGAGTAGTTCTCAACTTTGAGTGCAGATCAGAATCACCTGGGGAGATTTTACTAATTATCATCATCAAGGCCTCAATTAAGTCATAATCTCTGGCCTAAGCTTGGTCATTGGTGTATTACAAACGTTCCTGATGACTGTACTGTGAACCAATGGTGAAAACTGCTGTTTTTTAAAGTGTTGGTTTTTGGCAAGTAATTTCTGAACTTTCCTTAAACTAAATATTGTCTGGTTCTTGTTATAGAAACAGATTTGTGGGCTCTGGCTCAAATGTATTAAATCTAGATTTCGAGTGGAAAAATCTGACTCTTTGTATATTAACAGTAATGTAAGGAGATTCCTGGCTAACAAGGCTAGGCATTAGGCATGTATGGTGCCTATTTGCATACAGATGACTGACGTGAACTTGCTTTGAAGGTTTTGTTTTCATATGTTAGGGTTGGGCCTTTTAGTGAGTCTAGGTAGTTTGGGTCATTGCTGTAGTGCTACTTCATTGTGTGTTCTCTTTGCTGGTTTCTAAGTTTATGTCCAGAAGAAGAAGAATAAAAATGAGAGAATTGTCAGGGTGCTGGCTAAGGATAAGGATAAAATAAATGCACGTTGTCACTGATTTGTGTTTTAGATACTATGAATAGTATATATTCTGATAGTGACAGGTTGTTTCACTGTATAGGGAAATAATGAGTATCCAGTTTTCTCGTAGAACTTTTTCTTGACAATTGTAAGTTTTTATTGAAAAATTAAAGTATAAACATGTAAGTATATATTTATATGTATAGAATGTATAACGTATTGGAAAATATGACACAAGGACTTTTAATGCTTTCAGATTTAACTTGAATAACTTTGACTGCAAGCAATTGTATAGAATATTTGTTAATAATGTGTAATATAGTTTCACTCATGAACAGTCATCTGCTTTTGTGTTACGAGGCTGATATGCTGGAGTGCGCTTAGTGTGTAGCCTGGCCAAACGTCCTGCATCCTCAGCTCCTTGCCAGTCTTTTATCCTTCACTTCCGGCATTGGTACAGGCATTCTTCTGAGATGAATACAGACTGTTTTGTTTGTTTTAAAGGTGTCCAGAAAAAGCTGTTATTTCTAGTGGTATTAGGGAAAATACTGTGAGAAAATGATGGCTCTTAGCTGCATGACACATTTCTCCTTTACTTTTAGCAGGGATAGTGTTTTGTTGGGGGGGTGCTGGGAATTGAAACAGGGCCTTGCATGTGATAGGCAAGTGTTCTGCCACTGCAGTGTACCCCAGCCCCAGGAGTATCTTTAAAGTTAATAAGGATTACCTAGTATTTACTTTGAAAAATTATACTCTTTTCTCTTTATTTAGACATTATAGGCCGGTTTGAGTATTTGAAATCCATACAATACCCAAATATAAGAAGTTAGTTATAAAAAAAAGTCAATTATAGTGGTTTTTAACCTATGGAAAGCCAGAAAGAATCATGGTTAATCTTTAAAAAATACTGTGAAATAGGTCTGAATATACTCTGAGTATCTTAAATTTTAACTTTTATTAATTTCCTCAAGTGAGTCCAACACTTATACACAAACAAGAGACCAATCCCTTTTATTTTTTAAACAAATAAAACAAAAATAAAATCTGTCATGCTGTCATAATTTTATGTGATTGATTATAATTTACTATATGTGCTGCCGAAGCGAGCACATGATTAAGTATAATTTATGATTAAAATTTATTTTTTATTTTTTATCTGCCATAAATTTATCAAAAGGGCAATGTCCATAATGTATACATAGTCAATATAAGCCATAAGGCAAATATCAACTTATGATTATATAATTTTATTTATGTATTTTGGTTTTTTATGGTTAAAATTTAATTGCTATTTAAATTATTATGTAAGATCCTAGATGTCTCCAAAGTATCATGAACATGAAGATAGTATACTTGTAAAGAACAAAAAAAGTATACTTGTATTGTTGAAAAAGAAAGTATTTCTTTGGTAAAGTATTATGTGTGTTTGCATACATGTACATAAATGTGCATATTTTTATTTATTTTTCAAGTTACATAGCAAACTTCTGGAGACTGAGCGCCAGCTAGGGGAAGCTCATGGTCGGCTTAAGGAGCAGAGACAGCTTTCAAGTGAAAAATTGATGGATAAAGAACAGCAAGTAGCTGACTTACAACTCAAACTTTCTCGTTTGGAAGAACAGGTAAGCTGGCATTTCAGATGGGTTGATATTAGCAGATTTATTAACAGGCTTGAGATACCTTAACTATGGTTATGATTCAGAATCTTTTAATTGTCAAGAACATTAATTGGACATTTTGCACTTTAAATTACAATATTTATTTCTCTTCAATAAAAAATCCTACTTACTAATGGCATTAAGTTACTGCATTTTATTGTGATTGTATTTAGTAAAGTTCTCAACAAAAATGCAAGAAAGGGACTATGTTTTCAGTGTTAGGAGAAATTCCGGAGTTGGCTGTTAGGCTGCTGAGTCTTCTTAGCTAGGAAGGACTACTTACTGATGAACTGTGAGCAGTGATTAGCCGGTGAGGATTTCACATGATGCAAAGTTGTGCATAGAAATTTAGAGTTTGTATCTAAAGATTTTCACTTTTAAAAATTAAGCATGTGGTTGATAGAATGCTGTCAAAATTAAAGTCATTGGTGTTACTTAAAGTAAAAATTATTAAATGATGTCTTTTATTTGAATTGAACAAATATTCAGGGTTAAAATCTGTAGCTTCAGCAATAGATTTTCTTTTAGAACTAATTGTAGATTATTGTTACAAATAAATTGTTTGTAATTAATTGCTTGGTCATATTAATATAAAAATATAATAATGAACTAAATGCCAACATGGAAAAAGATTTGCATTCTTTTCAGGATAAAAGTCTATTTGTTAGAGAATAGTTGCTTCATCATGAGATTAACATTATACAAGTAATGAGGTGCTGCTTTTTCTTTTTAAGTTGAAGGAAAAAGTAACAAATTCCACAGAGTTGCAGCATCAGTTAGATAAAATAAAACAACAGCATCAAGAACAACAAGCTCTTCAACAAAGTACTACAGCAAAACTACGAGAAGCTCAGGTAAATGTTAGAATAATTAACCTTGTAAGTGAAAATTAAACCAAATCATTATTCTAATGTGATGGAATGAGATAGATAATGTAATTGATTATAATGAGTTTTGATAATTTTCAATGCCTGGTTAATAAGGAAATTCTTTTACTATGGTGAAGAGTTAAAATAGTTTAAAATATTACTTGTTATAAAAATTTGTTGATTTTAGACAAAATTTATGTAAAATATTTAACTATTAAATTTTCTTGTCAGAAAATTTATATATTAAATATAATTTGTCTGTTAAATATATCTAGTTAAAATTTTATTTAAATTATTGATAAGTAATTACTTCTTATTTGTTACTTAACTAAAATATCTTATTTGAAAAAATAAAAAGTATTCAAATAAAATTTCCTGTTTGTTTTAGCTCAGTAAAAAAATTGAACATTTTTTATTTCCTACAGTAGTAGTATTTTTTGGTCATGTCTTTTTCTTCTTAACCATCATTTGAACATTGAAATATTTGATATAGAAAATATAAATGATTCAGTTAAATTTATATAGGTTCTACAGTATATTTTAGAAGATTTAAGGAAGTTTAGTTTTTGTTTTGTTATGGTGAGGGCAGGCTACCCAAATATTTGAAGTAAATTTGACTTCAATATCCATTTATTCCTTCATTCTTGGTCAGCTCATTATTATTGAGCACTGTGTGTCAGACACTGCTCAGCACTGAGAATAAGAGGCAGAGTGCCTGTCCTTAGGGAATGGCAGCCTAATGATGTGTACAGAGAGATAATCCTGGAGTTGGAGGGAAGTGGCAAGTAATCTCAGCAGTAAGTAACTGTTCTTTTTTGAGTTTGGAGTGTAGCATGGGAATCAGACAAATAGAAATAAAAATACTGAATTTATCTGTTCTTTTATTCAGTCAGCAATTATGTCTAATCTCGCTGAAGAAATAATTTTGTGACTATAACAGCAAATAGAACAGACTGTAGAATTTGCTCTCTTGAAGCATAGTGAGGGAGGCAAACAATAACTGGGTAAATAAATAAAATACATATGTGTTAAATGGTGACAAGCACTATAGAGATGGGAGTGGGAAGTATGTAAGGGGCTGAAAGTTGGACAACAGTGCTAGGTAGGTTTGCCAGGGAAGACCTCTCTGAGAAGATGAAAGACTTGAAGGAAGGGAGAGCATGAATTGTGTGGATATCAGAGTAAGCATTAGTAGTACCTTAAAGGTCCTGAGGCTGGAGCAATTGGGAGGAATAACAGGAAGTCAGTGCCTGTAGCAGGGCAAGTAGTAAGAATTAAAAAGAACACAGTTATAGAGATCACAGAGGTCAGGACATGTAGGACTTCATAGGTAATCTGAAGGATATATTGAATTTTTTTTTTTTTTAGCAAGATGAGAAGTCATGTAAAGTTCTGAGCAAAGGAGTGGCATGATCTGACAGTTTCACAGAATTACTCCAGCTGCTCTATTGAGAGTAGACTATATGGGGACATGAGTTGTGGCAGAGAAATGAACAGATTACTGCTGTAATCCAGAAAAAGACTAACGTGGCTTGGACTGCAGTGAAAACAATGCAAGTAGTGAGAAGTGGACAGATTTTAGATATATTTTAAGGGTGAAGCTGACTGGTGTGCTGATAGATGGATGTAGAATATCAAGAGACAGACACATCAAGGATGACTGCAAGGATTTGGGCCTGGACAATCAGAAGGATGGTGCTCAAGCAAGATGAAAAGAGAGAATCCTATTGGATTTGGTAACCTGGAGGTCTTTGATGATGCTGATAACAGTAATTTGAATAGAGAAGTGGCATGAAAGCCTGTTTGAAGAGGGTTCAGAGAGAATGGGAAGAGAGAGCTTGATAAAATGTAGATAACTCTGGGATTTTACTATAAATGGCAGGAAAGAAATTGGGTAGTGAAGCAAGCATGAAGAATTTGGCATAGATCAGCAACTAAATAGGGTTCCTTATATGTACTCCTAAATTAAATTACCTATAGACAAAGCTGGAAATAGCATCCTTTCAACTTCTTATAGCAGGTTGTCTCTCCAACAGAGGGAAGAGCAAAGGACCCATGTGAACATGCTTAGTTCCTCATTCCTCACCTACTAATACTCAATATTATGTTTGTGTGGTATTGAGATTGAACCCAGGCCCTTTGCACTGGGCTACATTCTCAGCCCTTTTTATTTTATTTTATTTTATTTAAAACATTTTTTGGGGGGGGGTACTGGGGATCGAACTCGGGACCTTGCTCTTGCGAGGCAGGCACCAGAACCACTGAGCTAAATCCCCAGCCCCCAGCCCTTTTTAACTAATTAAAGAGATGGTAGTCAGTATAGTTCTAATGTGTATATGCATGTAAAATTATCATGGTGACACATATGCTAGTTACCTAACCTAAACAGTCTGGAAAAGAGGAGCTATGGAAATCTCTCACAAGTGACAGGCTAAGCCCACTGACCAGATAGTTGGGAGTGCAAAGATGGTGACAGTGAGAAGTATATGCCAAGTAGAAGTTGCAAGGACAAAGACAGTGAAACTGGTGTGAATTAAACGATTAGGTTTTGCTGAAATTAAAGTACACAAGGGATTAGCTTCATGCGGATGTATGATGAGGATGATGAAAAATATCCATTAGATAAACAAAAATAAATTGGTAACCTTGTTCAACAAAGTTTCGATAAAGTGATAAGTAAGAAAATCTGATTTTTGATTGATGAGTAAATGAGAAATGAGGAAGCTGGGAAAGTAAGTCTAAATTTTGAAATTTAAATGTGAATTGTATAAAAATTGGGCAGAAGCTGAAAGGAGTATTTTTGAGAAAAAGAGATCTGAATGTGTTTGTGGCCTAAGATAAAGAGGCTGGTAAAGAGGGGATTATTCTCATATTGGAAGAGAAGTGACTTGGAGTTTGATAATAAGCTGTGATATTGCTCATGTAATGGGCGATGTGAACTTGAACTTCACTGAGGTTTAAGCAAAGGCGATAAATATGGAGACACATACATGTATGGTTAGATAGGTAAGGAAATGGAAAATCAAAATAAATTGGTCCTGAAAATTTTATGCTTCAGGATAAAGTTGAAGATAGTAATAGCTGAATATCAGGCAAGTAAAGATCAAGAACTTGGAGAGAATATTAAAATTTTAAAGTAGATATTAAGGATAATGTTTGGTGGTGAGAGGCCCACATTTGAATGAATGGATTGAAAAGATGATTCTGAGTACATAGTAGAGGCTGGAATCAGAAATTTATAGTGGCACAAATTTATGAAGGGTTTTGCTTTTATTCTAATAGTGCCTACAAATATAGGAATAGAAACATCACACTGCAACATTGATCTAGAATTGTGCTTTTAGGGGTGGCTGCCTTCGAAATTTTGAGGTAAAAGGAAATGGAGAATGTGATTGGAAGAATATTTAAGGTTAGATCATATTTGTGTATGAGGTTTAGGAAGAAAAGCTAGGTACAGTGAATAAGTTAGAAGGAAATTGAGGTCTCTGATATTGAAGATGAGGTCATAAAATTGGAAGTTACTCAGGAAGTTGTGGTCACAGATTAAGATAGAATTTTTTAGCTGAAACAATTTCAGGTTATTATAAGATCTTATATGCGAGTTGCTATAATGTAGAATGAATTAAAGTCCAGGAATTAAGATGATATGCATGCTGAGGCTGTGCTCTTAATTCTGTATGTATTTTGTGTTTCCCAGGAAATTGGCAGAAATTGGGATTGAGAGAAAAACTAAATCAGGTCTCAAGTCTTCAGTGAATGAGGTAGGGATTTATAGATGATAGCAGTAAAGACAGAGGGTAGATTAAGTAGGAACAGCATACTTCCCAAAGCAGCACCCTTGTTTGAGGGAGAGAGGAGTGACAGTGAAAATCCAGGAGAAGGCCCACCTCCTGTGTTTGCCCAACGGAATAAGGCTTCCTGAAGAGAGAGAGCAAGGGGGAATTGGAATCTATAAAGGAAAAAACAAATTTCATTTAACACTTGGAAACAGTAACTCTTCTGGGAAAAAAAGCTTCTGCCTAGAACTGTAATTCTAGAAGAATAGTGGAATGTGGAGAGAGGGTTATTGGTGGCAGGAAAAGAAGCTGAGAGCAGGGAGGTTTGGTTGCATTTCATCATGTCATGATTGATGTTTAGAGGGATGAGAAGCATTTTTGAAAGTGACTGATCTGTAAGTATTTCAATACTGGCACAAATCATTGAAGGTATGAAGTGGCTACTGGTTCTGTCTCAGCAAGGTGGTGTGGGCTGCTGTAAGGGTTACAAGAGGGGCTGCCTCGGGCCTTGTTCTAGGTAGACACTCTCTTCCAAAGACTGAGGGAGGAGCAGAGTATATGGGATCAGATAGCTGGAGAAAGTGGGTCTTGTTCTGGATGTGGGCTATTGCATTGTGCTCTGTATAACATTAAGATCTTTGGTAAAATAAGAGGGAGGGGCCGGGGATGTAGCTCAGTGGTGCTGTACCTGCCTAGCAAGTGCAAAGTTCTGAGTTTGATCCCTAGTACCACAAATAAAAGAAGAGGGAGACTTAATTTATTGATAAAATAGTCCTACTGGGGTATTGAAGTGAGCCTGCAAAAGTATATGTGTTACAGTACAATGATTTTTTTATTCAGTGGATATTTTAGAACACATGTCAGATATCTGACATCAATGAATACGAGAGACGAAAGTCTTCACCTTTGTGCAGCATACATTCTAATGGGAAATGGAGGGAGGGAGGTAAATGTGAAGAATAAGTACATTACTTTGTATGTTAGAGATAAATGAAAGAAAAAAAGCAACCAGGACATGGAATATTGGGAAAGGCTGCAGTTTTGAAAGGCCTGGCTGAGAAGGTGACATTGAGCAGACATGAAGGAGAGGAAGGGAAGCACATGACAGGAGGGAAGCGTTTCAGGCAGAAGGGTTCTTAGTCGAGGCTGTGCAGTGGCAGTGTGCTTGGTGTGATGGGGAAATAATGAGTCCCATGTGTCTGAAATGGAGCAGAAGAGAGGTAGGAGGTGAGGATAGAGTGTTAGGAGAAGAAAGCTATTAATTACAGATTTTTGTTGTTAAATTCTTATTAATAATACAGATTTATTTTATCAAATGTATAGTTCTAATTAAATTTGCCATGTTAAAATGTAACAATTAGTTCTAAAAGTATAAGACTAAAAGGTTGAGTGATAAAATTCATTATCAGTCATTTTATATTTAAGGAATATCTTTGTTAAGTTCTTTGTTCTTAAAATAGAAGTTTTTAATTCTTTACAGAATGATTTGGAACAAGTTCTACGTCAAATTGGTGATAAGGACCAAAAGATCCAGAACCTTGAAGCCTTATTACAGAAGAGTAAAGAAAACATTTCATTACTAGAAAAAGAAAGAGAGGATCTTTATGCAAAAATCCAGGCTGGTGAAGGAGAGACTGCTGTTCTTAACCAGTTGCAAGAAAAAAATCATATGCTACAGGAGCAAGTAAGCTTGTAAAATGTACTATGTTTCTAAAATTTACTTTTATCTTTGAATCTTATTAAATGCTTTAACTCATTCATCATCCTGACTCTTTTTACTATTTTTGAATGTTACATATTTTTAACAGATACCATCTCACTTATCTTTGAGGTTGGGTCAGTACTGTAGTGAAATTTAGTTACTATGATTTGACAAATGAAACCCTCAGTTCATGTCCCAGGATGTAACTTATTACCTGTGGGACTATGGGTAAATCATTTCACCTTGGTAGCTCATTGGAAAAGCAGAGATGTTATTAATAATTATACTTGCCTCTTGGAATTTATGATATTTTTAAAAAGGAGTGAATAACAAAATATATTAATAAGCCAAAGGTACTAATTGTTAGTTGATACCATGTATTGGTTAATATTCAAACTCATGATTATTTATATTTTGATAATGTATGTCTTTGAACAAAATGTAGTTAATAAGTTTGATAAGTTGCTTTATTATTCAAAAATTCATATGAAGTTTAGGAGAAACATAAAATTTAGATTTATATATTTTCAAACTGAAAATAATAATTTACAGTTGCTTTTTGGAAGAGTTATCTAGTAAGATAATTATTGTTATCTAAATAAGCACATATTTATAACATAGTATCAGTATGTCATATCACATTTTTCAGAATTATGTATAACATAGTTTTCTCCACATATCCAAGTTAGTTTTGAATTCCTTTGGAATGCCTTAGGTAGTTTTCATGAGGACTACTTTAGGTCAGCTACAATTTGAAATTACTTGTGATACAAATATGATCAGGAAAGCAAGCTATGCATATTTTATATAGAAATAATTAAAATGAATCTACATACTTCTTGGTTCTGATCATGTTGGTGTAACTTGTATTTTTTTAGCCCTTCTGCCATAAAAAACTTGAAAAGTAGAAAAAATACATAAAACCACTATTGTCAGCCATTGGACAACAGACAGTACAGGACTATGATCCCTAAGAGAAGAGAAATTAGGAAGGTGAAACCTTTGACTGCTCTAACTTTTGACCCAGAGACATTCTTCCAGACTGTAGTATAGGTTGGGAGAATCCAAGAAAAGCAGTGATCTCGTTGAACTAAGGAGTGAGAGATTAATTAAACTGAGATACTGAATAATTTGCAGGGCAGGATACCTGACAAGAAGGAGTCAATGAAGAGAAAAAGCTTTAGACATCTGCATGGGGGTCCATGAGAGGCTTTGGTGAAATGATAAATTTTGCACTTTTAAGATAGGATTCTTCAAGGTCAGGCAATGAACAGTATCAAAGGCTCCAGGCTGGAGCTCACACATGGCAGGGAAATATTCAGGTGCCAGCCAATTAGGGAGAAAAGCATAGTTGAACAATTGGGGCATTCAGTAGAAATACTAGAAATGTCACACCTTAGAAGAGGAATAAGACTATAGTAGCCCCAGAGTGAAAGCTGTTATACACCTGGCCTATCAGAATATAAAAACAAGCCTTGAAAGGGCTTAGCTGAGCCACAAATATAGTATATTAACTATACTGGTACAGAACTCCACAGTCTTTGGAAGAAGACAGTGAAATTCAGACTTGTCAGAGAAAATACATGTCTTAATCAAGAGAAAAATCTTTCAGTGAAAACAGACCCTGAAATGAAAGGTGATGGAATCGTCAGACAAATACTTTAAAGTGCCTCTTAAAATATGCTTATGGGTGTAAAGGAGAAACTATAATAGCAGAGGTAGAAGTGGAAGTGATAAAAAAACAAAACATTTAGAGATAAAAATCTGAAAACACCTGAACTAAAAGTGTTATTGGATAGCAAGTAGAAAATGTATCAGTGAATATGACAAGGCAATTGAAACTAATGTGAAGCAAAGAGAACATTTTGGGGGGGCTGGTTGGGAAAAGAACAGTGTTCTAGTGATCCATGGAACAGTGACATTAGGCTATCATAATAGAATGAGTATCACCTCAGGAGGAAGAGGAGGAAAATATTTGTAGAAATGATGGCTGAAAAAAATTTAAATTTGTTTAGAAATACATATCCATAGAGTTAAAAAGTTGAATAAACTCCCAGCAAGGTACATCAAAGAAATATCTGGTTAATTAGATTTCACTTCAGTTAAAAGAATGTATGTTCTTCAGAAGATACCATTATGAGTTGGGTATGGTGGAACACACTGTAATTCCAGCTTCTTGGGATACTGAGGCAGGAGAACCACAAGTTTGAGGCCAGCCTGGTTAGCTTAGTAAGACCTTGTCTCTAAATTTAAATAGGCTAGGCTGGGGATGTAGCTCAGTGGTAGTGGTAGAACTCTTTCCTAGAGTAATTAAAGCTAAGATATAGACTGGAAGAAAATATTTTTATCTGTTTGGCCATTTAGAAATATCCAGGATATATAAGGAACTCTGGTTCTTCAGTCAGATCAGTGAATATGTAGGGATAGAGATGGGAGATGGGATTGATTGCAAAAGGGTGTGAGGAAGTATTTTGAAGTAATGAATATGTTCTCTTTCTTGATTGTGGTGATGGTTAAATGAGTGTACACCTTTATCAAATCTCAAGTTGTATACTTAAATTTGACGAGTTTTATAGCATGTAAATTATAGTTGAATACAGATCATATTAAAATGATATATCTTTGAATTACATGTTTTATGATTTAAAATACTATGTTTAGTTACTTTTGGAAAGATTGGAATAATTTTTACTTGAAAAAAATTGAAATAACCATCAAGCAGCTTCATATTCTAATGGTGCTTAAGTTTGGCTTTCTTAGTTTTGTTAGACCACTTTTGAATTTTATAATTAAAGTCTTGCTTCTATAATAGGTAACTCAGTTAACAGAGAAGCTGAAGAATCAGTCAGAAAGCCATAAACAAGCCCAGGAGAATTTACATGACCAGGTACAAGAGCAGAAGGCGCATCTAAGAGCTGCACAAGACCGTGTTCTTTCCCTTGAAACCAGTGTCAGTGAATTAAATAGTCAGTTAAATGAAAGCAAGGAGAAGGTCTCCCAGCTTGACATCCAGGTAATATTGAAATGAGAGTGTATGAATAAAGCACCGATTTTAGACTGCTGAATGTTTGAATTCTTTCTTTTTGCCTTACATATTAATAGAAAAACTTGAGACTAGCAATCACATAAAGTGTCTAGATAATGTGTTGAGCTATCCCTCTTGCACAGGTCTTTTTTTTTCTTTCTCTCCTTTCTCTTTTCTCTCTCTTTCTCTGAATAAACTGTACCTAGTAAAATCACTGGATCTTTTAGCTTTCCTTTGTTTTGATAGAGTCCTTGTTAATGCTTTGCGAGTACAAATTAGTTTGATACTGTATTATACTGTTAGATTTCTACATTAAATATTTTTAAATTTTTTATTTCTAAAATTTTTTTAAAGGTTTGATTAAAAAACACGTATGTGGTTCTATTATGTTTTTTAATTATATTCTTTCACAAATCTGTAAGCAGTCTTGCTCAAGGAGTCAATCATGGTATGGGAAGTAAGACATGTTTCTTTTTTTGTTCTCATAGATTTTTAAAATTCTGTATGATAAAAATTTATAGAAACATTTCTAAGCTTTTATTTTATTTTAGATGAGTAATTCCATTGGAAATAAGAAATTAATAAAATTAATGTAACTAGTACTTATTAGAATTTAGAGACTACACTTTTTCTTTTTTTGAATATAATTATTTGTTAGCTATGTTATATGAAAACCTGATAATGTGCATTTCCAGTTTAAGAGAGGGAAAGGAAAGGACTAAGAGAAGGAATGGAAGGAGGGAATATGAATGCGTGGATTAAAATAATCTTTGATTATTTTTGCATTGTGACATCCTTTTAGAAAGATTGCTCTGCCATTGCTATTCAAGAACTAGTTTAATTAGATTAGCCAATGTTTCTTACTATCATTGCTTCCTTGATACCTTTACAATAACTTCTTTGTCATTAGTCCTTGAAAAATGCTAACTGTAGGTATTTTCAGCTTTTGAGGCTCTTCTTTTTCAAAATTGCTGTAACTTTTTTTTATTCTTTGAGACAAGGTCTTGCTATGTAGTCAGCCTGCCTGCTGGCCTTGAACTTTTGATCCTCCTGTCTCACCCTCCCAAATACTGGATTTACAGGCTTACAGGCACCACCATGCCTGTCTTGGGATACATTCATTTATATTCCTCCCTCCCCTTTTGTGACAGGTTCTCACTATGTAACCTAGGCCTCAACCTCACCACTTTCTTGACTCATCTTCCTGAGTGCTGAGATTGCAGACATGTGTCACCATGCCTGACTTCTGCTTTAACTTCTTTATGAACTGGTACTACTTCTTAAAGTAGGATGTACGGTTTTATTTTTCTTTCAAGAATTAGGATTCTGATAAAACCTAGTAGTTTAAATGGTATTATTAATAAAAGTATCAACCAGAATTACTTAGCTAAAGAATATTAGTGGTGGGCTTTTTAAAAAATATGTTATATAAGGGTGTTCTTTTAACTATACAAAGGTGATTTTTAAGCTGTTTCCCAGTTTTGGTTTCTGTTCCATACTTTTGATCCCTATTTCCAAGATACTTCCTCCTAAGCATGATGAGGAGAGCATCAAGGTGAATTATACTCATGTATATCATAAGACTGACTGCTCCTGCTGCTCTTGCAGTAGTTCTAAGGGGTTTAATGCATAAGGTGCAACAACTGTAGCATTGTAGCAATTGGCACTTAGTCTGAACTTACTGCCTATAAAGGGACGGGGGAGGGCTTGCTATGAGTGGCCCATATTTTCCTCATCAGAAGCATTTCTGAAAGAGTGTAAACTAGGAGAGCTATTATGTAATCCTTCCAAATCTTTTTGTATTACGTCACTTTGGGAATCATATCACATTAGTTGAAGCATATTGTATTAAAAGATCATAAGCAATTACCATGCATTAACATATTTCATGAACTTGTAGTTCCTCAGAAACATAAAATGCCATATGTAAATGAAGCTGAATTCACAAAAATAAGTTCTTCATAATCTCTGATATATATTTGTTGGTTAGTATAGATTAATTTCCTATTCTGTAATGTGTAAATTTCTTTAGCTTTCACTTTTAATTCAGTGTAGACAGATGTACCTTGATACAAACATTGTTTCTGTGAAAATGGAATATTTAGTTGATAAATAATGATTGTTTTTCCCTTTTGTGTAAAATTACCCCATACTGTGTATGTTTTAGATTTTCATTGATCCTTTCTTCAGCTAGCTAAAAGATTGTCTCCCTTTTTACCTTTTTCTCAAAATGCCTTAATTTTAAATGTTTTTGTATTTTTCTTTCTGCTTTACTTATTAGAAGTGAGTTTTGATAGTTACTTAAATATTTAGGTATAGTGGCACATGCCAGTAATCCCAGGATCTGAGAAACTGACACAGGAGGACTGATAGTTCAAGACCAGCCTGGGCTACACAGTGAGACCCTATCAGAAAAAAATAAATTACTTAAAATACATAAAAGCATTAAGTATTTTTGGTAATAAGGTGAAATTCTTTATTAGATTTTATTTAAAGCGTTTTGTTGAAAGCCTTGGGTTTTTAAATGTATAGTTTTTTGACTTTTGATAAGCACCAAAAGTAAAACCTATTAGGCAAGAAGTAATCAGGAAATAGCAAATTTCAAACAGTTCTAGGTTGTCTGTGTTTTGAGTTCATCGGATTCTAAAAGTTTTGATTATTTTTGGAGCCATCACTTTCTTTGTCATAGTTATTGTTTATTGTAACGTTGGTAGACTCCACATAGTCCCTTCTGAAAAATATAGTGGCCCTTGTCAGTTAAAACAAAAGTATCACATTTGTTTCTTGACAAAGGGGGCACTATAGTGTACTATAATGTTGGTGTCACATAGAAGCATCTTCACTTGCTTATATAAACATTATTAGTAGTCTTTCATACATTCCTATTTAGGGATTTTCTTTATTAGTAAATGTTTGCAGTACATTATGTTTACATTCCTTGTGTAGAGTTGGTACATGTACATAATACATCTTAATTCCTTATTTTACTGAAAATATTTAATTTTTAAATAGTTTTGTGGCAAAAGCAATGTGCACTCAAGCATGGGGTAAGTCAACAGTTAAACATGGAAACAAACAATTTATAAATTTTTGTTACAGATTAAAGCCAAAACTGAATTATTGCTGTCAGCCGAAGCAGCAAAAACTGCTCAAAGAGCAGATCTTCAGAATCATTTGGACACAGCTCAAAATGCATTACAAGATAAACAGCAGGTAGAGAACTTGATACAATGTCATATCATAACCTAGTGCTTTGGTATATAAATTAATTGTAAGAACTATGCATAGTTTTGTATAATCTTATGATAGACTTGCTTATCTCCCTTATTTCCTCCCTGAGTTCAAATCCAGTTGATCAGTAGATGCAGGAATTAGTCAGATGGAGATTAAAATATCAACTTTGCTTTTGATAAATCTCAACTAGTGTTCAGGTGTGGTTGGAATCTGACTTCCTGGTGTTGTATTGTATTTCTTCCCTAGAGGAGGCTTTGATGGAGCTGAAATAATGACGCCGTAATTATTGCCCCATCCCATCAAGCAACAATAATGGGGGGGGGGACCTGCATACTTGCTTTTAGTAAGTAGAGAGCCATGACCCAGATTTGTTTATCACTTGAAGCAGGAAAAGAGCAGCATGCATTCCATCTCACTTCTAAGCATTACTCTTCTTCTCGGGGGTAGGAGTACTAAGGGGCTGAGGGAGCGTACACTTTTGATAAAACAGAACTTTCAAGTTTAGAGTCAAGATCAAAGTGCTGGTAGATATTCTTTTTATCAGGTAGGGGAATTTTTAGAATTTATTTCTTATTCAAGAAGTAATACTGGTTATTGGTTCATTTTGAAAAAGCAACACAAGCATTTTAAATTAAAAAAGCAAAACAAAAGTTTTGTTAAAAATATTTAACCTTAGGGCTGGGGATTTAGCTCAGTGGTGCCACCACCTGCCTTGCAAGCGCAAGGTTCTGAGCTCGATCCCTGGGACCAAAAAAAAAAAAAAAATTTTTAATCTTTATCCTAATCTCAATTTTCTTTTTTGATGGAATTTTTGTTATTAAATTTGGTATAAATCCTTCCAAACTTTTATAAACATTGAAAAATGTATGTATGTTTGTATGTTTATATGTTTATGCACATGGAATCACACAATATGTGTGGTTCTACAACTTGCTGTTAATGTACAGTATTGCTAAACATAACTGGAAAGCATTTTCTAAGCATGAGATCAAAGTCAGTAAGTATGATGGCTAAATTATTTTTAAGAAAAATCACATGAAAGTTTAAAATTTATCTGTCAAAATATTATTAATAAAATTGTAAAGCAAGTAGCAAAAGATAAAATATTTTCTGGAATATGTCTGATAAAGAGTTAATGTCTGTGTTATTTAAATCAGTTTTAAATAACCAATAAGTGAACTGGCAAGAAAACACAGGCCATTACTAGTCCAAAATTCTGAAGTCTGAAATGCTCCAAACTCCAAAATGTTTTAAGCATTATCTAGATCAGTGATGGCAAACCTTTTAGAGACTGAATGCCCAAACTGCAACTCAAAACCTATCTATTTATCACAAAGTGCCAACACTACAATTAAACCTGAATACTGAGGTTTTAGTTTAGAAAAAAACAACTGTTATATGATGCTCAGCTGCTGGCACAACTTGGCTCTTATGCTGACAGAGAGGGCTCTGTGTGCCTGCTGTGGCATGTGTGCCATAGGTTTGCCATCACTGCTTTAGATAAATCTTGGAGTGCTTAGAACAGATGTTCAACCTGTCTGTGCATATATTCCAAAATTTGAGAAAATCTGAAATCTGAAACATTTCTGGTCCCAAGCATTTCATATAAGGTATTCTCAATGTATATACATGTTCAGAACTATATTAGGAAATGTTCAAGTTCATTAAGAATTGATACAAATTGATACAGTAATAATGGGATAGAGTAAAAGTCTGTGTGTGTCTGTGTGTGTCTCTGTGGTGTTTTATTACCAGAGGAGGAACTGGAGAAGGTGTGGAAGAACAAGCCAGTGTAATACATTGCTAGCGGTAGTCTCCTTTAGTTGAGCCTTTTGGGTGGGAGGACGTAGGGAAATGTACTTGGTAATATATTGCAAAAACTTTAGAATTTTTCATGTTCTTTAACTCATTTATAGTTTTATCATAGCTACATAGCTCACTTATAGTCTTACCATAGCTGCAAAGATTCTCTTTGCATCTCTGTTAATAAATGAAGAAAATTTTAATAGGACACACATGTGTAAATACCAAATAGTTTCTCTGGTTCGAGAAACTGAAAGTATAAACGAGGACCAAAATATATAATAGATAATGTGAAATAGGACGAAAAGGTCTGAAGGGGAAGTGGGGCGGGGAGGGAAAGAAAAAATATGAGAAAAGAAGGGAAAAAATGGAAACAAAGCTTTTTGTAAATAGGGAGGGGTGGAGGGGTGGAGGGGTGGAAGGGAGGGCAGGGGAATGGGGAAAAATAAGAACCAAGATACATCATTTGTACAAGTACGAATTCCCAATGATGAACGTGATCATAATGTATACCTAAAATGGACCAATAAACTTAATGAAAAAAATAAATGAAGAAAATTTATTAGCAGTCTAAGAATCTAAAGCACATTTATCAAAAAAAGACTATATCAATGAAATGGAAATTTATACAGTAGAGTATTTTAGAAAACTAAATCTGAAAATTTTATGACGCATAAAAGCAAAAGAGGTTAAAGTAGTGTGTAAAGTGAGATCCTATTTTTATTTTAAAAGTCCCCCCTAAAAGAAATTAGCATATACAAAATACTTGAAGAAAAGTTATCACAATATTACCATGATTATTCATGGGTGGTAGATTTACTTGTACTTTTATTGTTCATTATTTGCAATAGTATATTCTAAATGAGTTGAACAAATACTATGGGTATGATCACTGCAATATTTTAATTCTTTTAATTTTTTTTGGTACCAGGGATCAAACTCGTGTCCTTGTGCTTGCGAGGCAACTATAATGTTTTTAAAATACTATTTTTAAATGGTGTCTTGCATATTTGAAACATTTAGTTACAGTATAAAAGTTATTTTATTATTAAACTGCTTAATAGTCTATGTTTTGACTCCTAAAATAACTTTAGAAAAACATTTAAAAGTTGTTTAACTGGGCTGATGATGTCCCTAAGTAGAGTGCCTGCCTCACACGCAGCATGCTGCCCTGTGGTTGATACCCAGCACTGCGGATAAACAACAAAAGTTAGAAGTGTTGTACCCATAAAGTTGGTATCTTACACTACGTATGTAAAACTTCAGTTCAGGTTCTATATACTGGTAGGTAAAGATGACCTTTGACAATTCATTGAACTCATTCAAAGTCTTACTCCAAATACTTAAATGAAATTAGAGTTTTCAATTTTATTTTGACTGAACATTTGAGAAGTACAATATAATAAACCTTGCCAAAGTTTTCTTTAATTGTGCTTTTTCTGTAGGAGTTAAATAAGGTCATTACGCAGTTGGATCAGGTCACTGCAAAGTTACAAGACAAGCAGGAACATTGCAGTCAGATGGAAAGTCATCTTAAAGAATATAAAGAGAAACACCTTTCTTTAGAACAAAAAACTGAAGAGCTAGAAGGTCAAATTAAGGTTTGTATAAAAGAAGTTGAATTTAGACATATTTTCTACTCATACCATTGGAATTTGTGATGATCTGCATGCAATCAGAGTTTTTTAATTAAAGTTCAAGTTGTGTTATAAAATTTAAAAAATTATTTGTTCCTTTTCACCTTAATTTTGAAATCTATCTTTATTTGTAACTCTTTCATCAGTAGCTGTCTTTTATAAATGGCAGCTAACATATATACTGATTTCATTGTAGAGTATTTCTGAGGACAACTAAACAGATGATTATATAGGATTTATCAATTTTTTACTGTTGTAAATTCTCTTCCATTATTTCCTTTTTCCATGTCCATATCTCCTTATTCCAATATAATCTTTCAGATATGGAAAGCTTTTATTTTTTAAAACTTTGCATTTATACCCTTTGGATTTTGCTTCTAATTTAACACATTTAGGCCATGGTAAACTGCATCTTACTTTATCACAATTCCAAGTGGTATTATTTTACTGCAGAGATGAAATGTTCAGACCAGTGATGGCGAACCCTTTAGAGCCTTCAGTGACACAAACAGCCCTCTGTGGCATGTGTGCCACACTTGGATTAGACATATCTGTCTTAGTTACTTCTCATTGCTGGGAAAAAATACCCAACACTCCCAACTTAAGGAGGAGAGGTTTATTTTGGCTCATGGTTTTAGGCCATGGTCAGCTGGCTCCAAGGCAGAAACGATGGCAGAGGCTTGGCAGAGGAGAAGGTGCTCAACTTGTCAAAGCCAGGAACATGAACCCACCCTTCTGGTGACACAGTGACCCACCTCCAAGCAGGCTCTACCTCCTAAAGGCACCTGCAGATATGAACCCCTTAATGGATGATTCTACTGATGAGTATAGCAGCCCGCATGATCCAGTCACCTTCTACTCACATGAGAATTTTGGGGACATTTTAAATCTAAACTATAACAATGTTAGAGGAAGATTTGACCTAAGTTGTTTGTCCTTTAATTAAAACTACTGTCAGTTCCACAATCAGATGAAGCATGGGTATATGGAGCACAGAATTGTGGATATGTACACATGTACATCTGTACCAATATAACATGAAGGAAGAATGACATTTACAGTTGTGTTTATGGTTCCTTTTACTTTTCCTCGTGGCCAACAATAATAGTAATGACAAATTAGGTATGGCTGAAAACAATGGAATACTATTTTAATGAAAAAAATGACTATTGAGAATTCCTTTGGGGAACTATTTAAAAATAATTGTTATTTAGAACTGAGAGTGCCTATTATGATTATCAGCTCTTGAACCTTTTATAATTACTAGTTTAAAAATGTTCCATGTATTTTATATGAACATTATAGAATTAATTTATTACATCAAAAATCTTTTCTTTCATGAGAATTTTCAAAATCGGTCTTGTAGGAGCCATAGGTACCAATTGGTTTATAAAACATGTAAGTATGCAAAGTCATTATGTATTGCTTATTGATATTCATACTTACATTTAGCAATTTGATCTTGTAAATTTATAAAAATACACACATAACTGAATATATATGAGATGTATGCTATATTAAAGAACAACAATAACATCTAATATAAAATTATAAAGCAAAATCAAGAATTTAATTGGCTCTATATTTAGAGTCAATAGATGAGAAGGATTACATGACAACTCCATTTTAATTTTAAATATAACTGCTTCAATATTGTTAATTGTGAATATAAAGGTATTTTCAGTGGATACATGAGTGACTGGCTACATATTTTTTTCAAACTTGAATTAATTTTTCCTCTAGTAATAAATATTTAAATTTATTCTCCTGTTCAGAATTAACATTGAAAGTAAATATTGACTGATTATACTGTGCAAAGCCTATGCTTATTTTGTATAAATTCTATGCTGGGTCCTTTCAAAAGATTCTAACATAGGTAACCTCCTTACTCAGTGATGGTTTTAGAATGTGTTTGTTTTATAAAATACATTTTTATGATTATTTTTATGTGTTATATCAATTCCAATTTGAATATAAGTAAAATTATCAATACATGGTATTTAATGGTAGCTTGATAATCAAAAAATGGCTGCTATATTATATTAAAATGGCTGCTATATTATATTTCTTCCATAGAAACTAGAAGCTGAAACTCTTGAAGTTAAAGCAAGCAAGGAACAAGCTTTGCAGGACCTTCAACAGCAAAGACAGCTGAGCACAGATTTGGAGCTGAAGACCACAGAATTGAGTAAACAACTTGAAATGGAGAAAGAAACGTAAGCTAAACTCTCTCACTTAAAAATTAAGGGAGAGGATTATGGACTAAGCATTAAAATTTTCTTAAGATTTCAGTTTTGTTATTACAGTCCTTAAAGAATAAAGTTTTTATTTTGTATTGACTTTATAAACCGATATTAATGTGAATGAAAAATAAAGCTGTCATAATGTGGCTAAGGTTACTTTCAGTATAAAAAACCGGAAACTTATAAAATTTGGGTCAGTCTGTTTTCAACAAAATACCCATTTTGCTTTCTCTCTTTCTTTTTTTTTTTTTTTGTTTGTTTTTTGTTTTTTCAGGCAGGGTCTCACTATGTAGGTCTTTTATGTCTTTTTTTATTGCAGGGTGGGACCTCCAGTAAAATTTTGAATGTAAATTTTAAAGCAGGCATCATTGTCCTTTTTAGTTTTAGGCAGGAAATAATGTTCCAGTAAGTGTGGGGTTAGCTGTAGAAGTTTTCCTTGGGTTTACTTTATTAAACTGAGGATGTTTCCTTCTATACCTAATTTTCTTAATGTTTTTAAAAATAATTTTGCCTGAATTTTATCAACTTCTTTTTCTAAATCTGATGACATGATTATATATATTTTCTTTATTCTGTTAGTTTGGTGAATTACAATTGACTGGTTTTCTTGTAGTAAACCAACCTTGCTATCATGTGATAAATTCCACTTGACCATGCTGTAGTAGTCTTTCTATATGTTGCTGTTTTAATTTAGTAATACAGTGGGCCCTCCAATCTGTGGGTTTCACATCTGTGGAGTCAACCAACTGAGGATCAAAGATATTCAGAAAAAAAAAAGATATTCAGAACAAAATTGTGGTTATATTGAACATATACTGACCTTTTTACTTGTCATTATTACTTACATAATATAGTACAACAACTATTCATATAGCATTTACATTATATAATGTAGTGTAAGTAATCTAGAAGTAATTTAAAGTACACAGGAGACTGTGTAGAGGTCATTTCTAACCACACCACTTTAGATGGAGAGCTGGATCATCTGCAGATTTTGATGTTTGTGAGGGTGCTGGAACCAAACCCCATCGGATGCTAAGGGTCAGCTCTACCTTATTAAGAATTTTTCATGCATTCATGAAGGCTGTTTGTTTTTAAGGTTATTCAGTATCACCATCAGGTTTTATTAGAATTACTGGTCATAGAAGGGAATTAAGTATTTCATCCTGCTCTACTTCTGACAGTTTGTATGTGATGAATATTAATTACTTCTTAAATGTATAATGGAATTTATCAGTGAACAAGCTGGGCCTGAATTTCTCTTTGGGCTGCTTCATTTAGATTCAATTTTAAATAAATAAAGTATGGATACAGTGTTATTCTAATTTTCTCATTTTTCATGAGTCCACTTTGGTAATTTGTATCTTGCAGTGAATTTGTCCATTTCATCTAAACTTCAGATTTATTGGCATAATACTACACTTTAAATGTCTATAGGATCTATAATAACATTCCTTTTTATTATTAATAGTGGTAATTTGTCATATTTTATAATGCTCTAATTAGAGATTTATCAATTTTATAAGACTCATAAAAAGCTTTAGAGTTAATTGATTTTTTGTTCAGTTTTTCTATTTCATTCATTCTTCCACATATCTTTATTTTTTCCTTTGATTGAGTTTGGGTTTAGTTTTTCTAAAATAGCTTTTTAATGTGAAATGCCATGCATTTTCACTACTCTGAATTTTAATATACGTATTCTCTAATTTTCTTTATGGTTTCTTCTTTGACACACCCAAGTTTCAAAGTACTGTATGGAAGTATATTGTTTACTTTTCAAATGTTTGATGCTGTTCTAGATATGTTTTTTGTTTTCTAATTTAATTCTGTTGTGGTCAGAAAACATGCTTGGTAGAATTCAAACCTTTGAAATGAGGTCTTTCATAAGGTCCAGTATATGATTTATCTTAGATAGTTTTTTTCCATGTGCCACCTCTGTGTCCTAAATGGTAGCTAGGTCAGGTAGTTGATGATGTTCTTTTGGATCTTTTTTCCTCAGATTGATCTATCAATTTCTGTGAAAGACATACTACATTAAAATTTCTAGCTTCTGATTGTGGCTCTATTTCTAACTTTAGTTACTTATTTTTAATAAGTAAGTTTTACAATGACTATGAAAACCTTTATTTCTCTTTCATCTTCTTTGAATCATACAATCTTAGGATTTTGTAATTATTTGAGAGAAAGTTAAATTATACAGTGAGTAAATATAGTCCAAGTTTTAGGGTTGTTTTAGAGTTTTTTTATTTTTTATTTTTGTTTTGTGCTGTCTATTGAACCTATTGCTCTACCACTGAATTATACTCCTAGCCCCTTACAAAAATTTTAATCAGATTTAAATGGTAAAATGATAAAATTTTCTATTTAAACTTTTAAAATCAGAGTGATACACTATGAACCTAATGAATTTCAGTATCATTTCTATTTTTGTAGCATAGTCCATCCCATGAGCATGTTTCTGGGACTAAAACTTGGAAAATTTCAAGATATAAATGAAGTTCTGATATTGTGCTAATACTCAACTTTATGTGACTTGTACATCTTTGTTTGTTTGGTTTTTTTTTTTTTTTTGGTGCCGGGGATTGAACTCGGGTTCTTGCGCTTGCGCAGCAGGTGGAGAAACCACTGAGCTAAATCCCTGGCCCACTTGTACATCTTTAAACAACCTTCCTTTAACATATTGTTGAATTTATACTGGTTATAAATTTTTTTTTTTTAAAGGAAAAATCTTTAAGTTTTCTTTTTTTTTTTTTTGGCATCAGGAATCAAACTCGGGTCCTTGCGCTTGCGCAGCAGCAGGCAGCAAAACCACTGAGCTAAATCCCAGGCCCCCTCATTATAAATTTATATATTGGAAATAGTGTGCATTTTAGAAATATTATTAGTTTGCATTTGGTTTTGAAATTAGTTAATTTTTAATGTATGTGTCTTTACTGTGTGATACGCATAATTTAATTTTTTATGAAAACAGAAGTCTGTATTTTAACTCTGTGAAAGCTATTTCTTCCACGTTCTTGTAGCTTATTCATTCTCCTGCATAAAACCAATATCAAGGGACAAATGATTTTAAAAAATCACTTATATAACCTGCTATATTTTAAATTTTCTTTCTTTTTCCTATATTAACCTTAAATGTTTTAGTGTTTAAGACTTACCAAGCATGTAACATATTTTATATTTTCAAGAAAGAAGCAGAGTTCTTTTTGTGCTTGGAAACTAACATACTGATTAGGTTGTTTTGGATTCATGGAAAACCTTTTCTGGCTATGGTAGCCCATTGGCCTGCAATGTATAATTTTATTTGAGGATCTGTTATTGTGGAAAAGACTGAGTTAAGTCAGGAGGCTTAGATGGTTTTGGTTTTATTACTAACTTATTTGACTTGAAAAAATTTTTTTACAACTGGTAAATGATTTGATCAGATGTTCTAAGGCATTTTTCTGTTGTGATTTTATGAAGTTAAATTATTTTTATTTCTGAATCACATTTAAAAATTATTTCTTAAATATCTAGAGTATCCAGCACAAAATTAGATTTACTGAAAAAATCTGAAACCATTGAAACTATTAAGCAAATGCTTGCCAAGGAAGAGGAGGAAAATGCTGTCCTGAAACAAGAAATTGAAAAGTTAAGTCAAGATATAAAGATGCAGCAAGAGGAATTGAATAACAGAATTCAAACAGCACAAACCGAACTAAAGGAAGTAAAAACGGAGAAAGAAATGCTAATGACAGAACTTTCTACAGCAAAAGACAAATTGTCAAAAGTATCTGATTCCTTAAAAAATTCCAAACGTGAATTTGAAAAGGAGAACCAGAAAGGAAAAGCTGCTATATTAGATTTGGTTAGTTGTTTACATTTACATTCTTTTATAAATTAAAAAAACATTTTAGTGCATGTTTGAGGTGCATAACGTTTACATTCACTGCAGGGAGTTGGTACTTGTGCAGAACACATTTTAATGCTTTTTGCTTCCCCTTCTTCTCCCTCCCTTCCTTCTGCATTTACTTTCTTAGTTAGAAGTGATTTCTTCTTTAAAATAAACCGACTTTTGGGGGCTTAATTCACTGTTTGCATCCTACATTAAAATAGTTTTTCTGAGGAAAGGAGTTGGGCTTGTTTAATCTGTGAAAAAGATAATCTAAGATGCTGGTATGTTTTGTGTACATGTATGTGTATGCATGTTTTCTTGAGGCTGAGGATATTTCCGGTTGAATATAACAGTCCTTTTCTATTGCTGGTCTGATGTTAGCTTTTGGGAGAGACTGCAGCATGTTTGTTTTGGGGGACATTTCCACAGAGTGTGTGACTACGAGTGAGTTGCTATGTACTCCAAAGAAGATCTTAATAACTTACTTTTGGTATTATAAGCTTTTAGATTATTAATATTCTAAAACCCCAGACAATACCATGTTTAGAGATATTATAAAACATATTTAAAATGTAGGGAGAAAAATTTAGAGTCTCAGGAAATGCCTAAAGGGGAATTAATTCTTAGAAATGTTTTAATGCAAAATAACAGAGTAAAGCAAAAATAAAACTCCTCTGTTCTGATTATGAGGGCCAGTGAAATTGTTTAGTAGTGTAAAACACATGTGAAATTAGTATGTGTTGCATTATGTTTGGAGAAAACATTTCGTCTGTATACCTTCTCTCTTCAGTTGTGTGATTACCTTTTAATTTATTGGTTTAACATTTTCTTTTTAAAAAATCTCCCCCTCCTCCTCTCCCACCCCCTCCTCTTGCTGTGTAGTTCAGGCTGGCCTTGCATTCACTGTGTAGCCCAGGCTGGCCTTGAACTCATGGTGACCCTTCTGCCTCAGCCTTCTGAGTGCTGGGATTACAGGTGTGTGCCACTATGCCTGGCTTTTTCCATTTTATTGTAGCCCATGGTTCTATTTTTTGACAAGTTTATTAATTATAAATAATTGTATGATATGAAAATGTGATTTCCACAGTGTTCTAAAGTATTGTCTGAAATACTTTTTTCATTATTGGGCATGGAACCCAGGGCCTCACACGCTAGGCAAGCACACTACTACTGAGCTCTATCTCCAGCTCTATTTTATTATAACTGTTAGTTGATTAAAGAAACTCTTAGCAAATATAGCATAGTCCTGTATTTGCCTGTATTTATTAGTTTTTTTGAGAATGTCTTGCTGTACAGTTCAGGCTGGCCCTGTGCTCACTGTGTAGCCCAGGCTGACCTCCAGTTTATGGTGATCCTCCTGCCTTAGGCTCCTGGGTGCTGGGATTATAGGTATTTGGCACCACATTCGGCTATTTTTATTATTGAAATGGGTGATTCTATTCCATTTTGACTCATCAGTGATTTTACTTTATTTGCATGTATTTTACTAAGCTTATAAAACAGACTCTTAAAGTTATAAATATTTTCTGTATAATATGGTTTCTCTTTTTTTTAAGGAAAAAACTTGCAAAGAATTAAAGCATCAACTTCAAATACAGACAGAAAGCACACAAAAGGAACAGAATGAACTGAAGAAATCACTTGAAAAAGAGAGGGAGGTAAGATTTTATCTTTACTGTAACATAAATATATAAAGTATAATAAGGCCTTTTTATTTCAAAACATTTTATCCTGATAGGTCAAAGATTTATTTCTCTGAAATGGAATGGAATAAAAAAATATATTCATATATATATTTATTTTTTGTGTCTTATCATTAACTTAATATTAATTCATTTTAAATAAAAGCTATAAATAAAGAAATATAATTAATAACAACAGAAAATAATTGATAACAACTATCCAGAGCATTATAATTAGATACTCTAGGTTAAGGAACATTATTACGACTGAAAAATTAAAATAGACTTTCCATAGAAATGATATTTTAAGGGCTATTTATTTGATGGACATTTATATTAATGATATATTTGATAATGATTGTGTAATAAGAGATATTTCTGTTGCTCTCCAGCTGGAACACACAAGTAAATGAGAAAATGCATGTATATAATATAGGATTGTTACTGTCTGGAGACATACTTGTTAGCAGCTGCAGTGTAGGCATGCAGCTGTCTAGAAAATCTGATTTGATAAATCAAGTATAGTCCTGACAAATGTTTGATGTCACTGAGTTCTGATTGTTCAACGAAACAGGACATTTGGACCATAGATGCCGGCCATGGAAGTGGCCAAATTATAGTGACTCAGTGCCCAGACTGAGCCAAAATCATCCAAATTTGTATCTTGCCTATGCTATTTATTAGTTATGCTGTCTTGCTATATTTGAAGGTTACTTAGTTTCCTGGTGTTCCATTTTCCTCAATAATAAAGTGGAGCTAATAGTAATAATAATAATAATAATAATAATAATAATAATGTGTTTCAGAGTTATTGTGAGAAATAAATGGGTTACTATAAAGTGCTCACAATGCTGACTGTGACAAAATAAATACTCTTATGTTAGATATTATTTTATAATTGTTATAATGTAATCATGCTTATTGTTACACCTCTTTACCTCTGTTTTGCGCAGAAATATTTGGCTATGCATTAGATAAGCTGAGACATCTCTGTATAGCACTGAAAACATTGTGAAAAGTAGTCTAGTATGGTCAAATGTGCAAATGTAATTGTAGATTATTAATAAAATATACATAAGTCATGAATATATGACTTTGACTGGAAAGGCAGAAAATAATAGTTTTCCTTGGCCACGGAGGAACCTTGGTGTGACTCTTGTATGACTGGAAGTGTACCCTAGTAGAGTATGAAAACAAAGTGGCAAAGTAGGTTTCAAATCTCTAAATGAGGTAACTATTATGTAGTGTAATTTAGTGTCATAGACTTATACTAAAATGTTTGCTAAAAGAAATTTTATTTTTATCATACCTAAAGCTATTCTTTCTGATTAGCTGTGGCCAACAAGCTCAGTAGCATTTGGGAATATTCTTGAAAGTGAATAGACAGTTTCAGCAGTATGGACTCCAATGTTGACATTCCTATTCTCTGTGATACAAAGGTATACTGATCCATTTCATGTATCACTCTTTCTAAATACATAATTATAAGCCAAAAAGGAAGGCAAGATTAAACAAATAATGAAAATTAATTTGCATGTCATCTACTAGTGAGTGATGCCAGTTATGAAAGCAGAATGAGTGCTGAAGTATTTCTCTTTCGTTAACTACTGATCATTTGTGACCAACAGACCCAGTAGTTTCTACCACCAGTAGTGGCTGGCATTTAGTACATACTCAGTAAATGTCTTTTTTTTTTTTTTGTGGTACCGGGGATCAAATTCAGGACCTTGTGCTTGTGAGGCAGGCACAGTGCCACTGAGCTACATCCCCGCCCATCAGTAAATGTCTTTTTAATGAATAAAGAAATTTCAAAAGGTTTCTTTTCTTTTAGGCTTCTCATCAATTGACATTGGAACTCAATTCAATTAAGGAACAAGTCATAGAGGCCCAAAGTACTTTAAAACAAAAGGAAAAAGAACAGCAACAACTTCAGGGGAACATAAAAGAGCTAAAGCAATTGATTGAACAGAAGAAAAAGCAAATAGAAGCACACCAAGGAGAAGTCAAAATTGCTATTTCACAGAAGGTATTGATAAGAAATTTGTTTACTTTTCATAGGAAGAAAATGTTGATAATTATGATAATGTGATTGAAACAGATGAATTGTATCACAAATGTTTATATGTGCTCAACATTTTCTAACTTATGTTTGATCATGTGATTAAATATCCATGTCTGAATTTCCATTCACCATAACCATATTGTCAGGGAATTCTTATTTTAATTTCTAGTAATAGTTATTTGTCTGATAAATATGAAAGTACCTTTTTATAAAATAAAGCTGGCCTGGAACTCATTGGATGGCCCAGGTGGGCCTCAAACCTGTAGCAGTCCTTTTGCCTCAGCATCGTAAGTGCTAGGATTATAGGTATGCATCACCATGGCCAGCTAGTAGTGTCAGATTTCTTATACTATAGCTCATATTTTTAGCTGCATCAGAATGTTTTCCATTTCCAATGTTAAATACATAATTTATTAAACATCAGTTACTCATTCCTAAATATGTTTTAATGCTTGTACAGAATAGCAGTTGGTAAAAGTTGATTGTATTTAATGTAAAATATTTAATATAAAGTGTTTCCCCCACTATTGGCATGTGCATATTATTTGGTCCATAGAGAAGAGAGAAGTAGTCTCTTTAGTTCTAGAATATGCTAACCATTGTCAGACCATTAAGAGTTGGTTGTCATACTCCTAGAGTAAAAGGAATCCAAATTAGAAAACCATAAATACACATTGTATTTTGAACAGTGTTCTACAACTATTATTCTACATTACAAAGGGATAGTTTCCTAACAGAAGCAAGAGTCAACTAGTTTGTCCTGTATGTTATATATTATCAAAAGTCAGAATGTAATTATCACAATGCATATTATATTGCACACTTTGATATCTTCACATACAAATATTCCCAAGAACTTCATTTTTATAGCATCATAATTTAAAAAGTACAACTATTACTGCATTTTCCCCTTGGCATTATATTGGTTGTTACAATTAAGATTTCATTCATATTTATTAGTAGTATTTATTGCCTGTGTTTTGCACACCTTTACTACATGATAATTGGGTTTTGGAGACAGTGTTCTTATTGGTAGTTCATTTTTATGTGAGTAATGGGTTGCAAAATCAGGAACATACTTCTTGACATGGAGAAGGGCAGTGTTGGGGAGTGTTGAGTACATAGCCAATATTTTTTAATTAGACTTGGAATTTAGAGTAACTGGAGAATCATTGTAAGGCAGGGACAGTTTTGTTTTGTTGAGCATTCTAGCATCATGAAAGAAGATAAGTTTTGGAGCCAGGGAGATCTGAATTCAAATTCCGTGGGATGCACATTAGTTTAGTGGTCACAGGGAAGTGATTCATCTTTCTGAGTTCAGCAAAGTAAGGTTATAGGACTATTGAAATGGTTGAGACAGCACATTCAAAGTAGCTAGTACTGTGGCCAGTACGGTGTGGAAGCAGACAGTTGTTGGCTGTCACCCAGAGTACAGCACACTGTCATCTCAGAGTGTCCTTGTACCTGGCGGACACTCAATGGCAGACAGAGCTGTCACTGTCACTGGGCCACAGGGAAACAGGAAAGGAAAAGGGTAATGTTTGAGTGGGAGGAAGGGCATGTGTGTTTACAAATATATAAAACACACATGTGAAACAAATATTCAAATCTGTAAAATATAAACATGCAGGTTAACTGTAGGCCAACAGTCCCTGTACCAACTTTATTCCAAACCTAATACGGAAACAGAATGAATAGGATATGAGGTTTTTGGTGGTTTGTTTGGCTTTTTTTGGGGGGGGCGGGTACTGGGAATCAAACTCAGGACCTTGTGCTTGCGAGGCAGCCGGCGGCACCACTGAGCTAAATCCCCAGCCCTGTTTGGCTTTTTTGAAACAGCGTCTTGCTCTGTAATTCTGGCCTTGAACTCATGGTGATCCCCCTGCCTCAGCCTCCTGAGTGCTGGGATTACAGGTTTGTGCCACCTTAGGATATTATAGTCTCAAGTAGTTTATAATTGAATGAGGAAAACTGGAGGTGTGACAGAGCTCTGTGGCACTCACTGAGGTCAGCTGGAATGCCCTCATAAGAGGTAACAGAGATATTAACTAGTAGATTAAACTCAGAGTGGGAGAACAAGCAAATGAAATACGGAAGAGGGAAAAGCTAGAATAAGAAGTCCCACGTAAACTCAGGTGCTCATGCCGCTCAGGTCCGGAGTGGGGATGAAACAGCCTGTGCTAACTAAGTAAACTTCCTCTGTAACTCAGAAGCTGTGAGAATCATAGAGGGCTGCACAAGGTGGGAGAGGGGAACCAGGAGTTCCAGAGATGGGAAAGTCTGAAAGTTAGCAGTGGACAGACAACCCCTGGCTGACACGGACTGGAGGGAGCAGAATAAATGACCCACCAAGGGTCCTTATACCCATAGTGTGTGCACCTCCAGCGTGTACCCAGGTTTATGAGAGAACAGAATGGTTTACTTCGTTTTAAGGATAATTAGAATCTATTGGAGGGTTTGAACAGAGTTGTGCTTTGACTAAAGGGAAATAAAGGAGAAAACAGGGAAGGTATTGAAAACTATTGGAATGAATTGGATAGTACATGATGATGGAAAAAACTGAAGTGTTAGAACTGAATAACTGGGGAATATCTTTTGGAAGTTGAGTCATCAAGCCTTTTTTTTTTTTTTTGTGGTACCAGGGATCAAACTCAGGACCTTGCGCTTGTGAGGCAGGCATGACACCACTGAGCTAAATCCCAGGCCTGAGTCATCAAGACTTGATAGGTTAGATGGAGAATAACAGAGGAATTAGGGATAGCTGTCAGTTTGAATTTGTGCACATGAGTAGTTTGTGATGCCATTTATTGGCACAAGTAGCCTTTTGATGGTTAGGATTGTTGTCAGAAATTAAGTGTTCTACTTGAGATAGGTATCTGTTTATCTTTCAATTAGAGATGAATTTGAGAGCTACTGTAAATAAGAAATATTAAAATCATAGCCCTCGTTGAGATCTTTGAAGGACAGTGTATATACAACTTTTTTTTTTTTTTTTACTGGGGATTGAACTCAGGATCTTGCGCTTTTGAGGCAGGCATGGTGCCACTAGGCTAAATCCCCAGCCCTAAGTGTATATACACTTATAGACCTGAAACTCAACAGCAGTGTCACTGAAGAAATATGTTTATTTTATTTTAAAAAGTTTTAATTGACATAGCAATTGTGGATGTAGTGTAATGGGGTATAGTGCAATAATGCTGTACATGTATGCAGTGTTTAATGATCAAATTAGAGCAATTAACATTTCTATCTGCTTAAACATTTATCATGTTTTTGTGTTGGGAAATTTCAAACTCTTCTAGTTCTATATAAAATACATAATAAATTGTTATAAACTATAGTCACTCTGTGGTATTATACATCTCTAGAATTTATTCCCCCCTGTCTAATTGTACTTTGGTACCCATTATCCAGCTTGTCTTTATCCCCTGTATTCTTCTTACCCTTCCCAACTCCAGTAGCCATTATTCTACTCTCCACTTCTGTGATAGTGTATTTATTTTATTTGTTTGTTTTGTTTTTTCCTGTACCAGGAACTGAACTCAGGACCTTGCGCTTGCAAGGCAGGCATGGTGCCACTGCACTAAATCCCCAGCCCTTAGTGTATTTATTTTAAAGGCTACATGCTTTTTCTTTTTCTTTTTCTTTTCTTTTCTTTTCTTTTCTTTCATTTGTTTTTGAGACAGGGTCTCACTGTGTAGTTCCCTGTGGCCTTGAAAACACTACATAGTCCAGGCTGGCCTCAGCCTCCCAAGTGTTAGGATTATAGGCATGTGCCACCATACCAGCTACTTGTTTTTCATATTATGTATATATTTTAATTGTGTGATAACATCTGTGTATCTTCCAAATCTTTTTAAAACTAAGGAAAGGGGGCCGGGGATTTAGCTCAGTGGTTTTGCCACCTGCTGCACAAGGGCAAGGACCTGAGTTCGATCCCTGGTACCAAAAAAATAAAAATAAAATAAAACTAAGGCAAGGTAGAATTTAGAAAAGTTTGGACCTTTGTGAGACTTTTTTTCTTACTTTGTTATTAATAAATATGACCTGTAGGAATTTCCTAAGGTGTTCTTATATTTCCAAGAGTACAAAATGTCTACATCAACACAACACGCTAATGGTGTTTTAATTTTTCATGAAGTTTCTTTTAGTTCAGTCTTAAAATATGTCTTCTGAGCACCTAACGCAGCATCTTCCATCAGAATATGGTTTTCCTCTGCTTCCTGAAACCTGATACTTACTACTTCCCAGAGGAGAGCTTTTTTTCTCTTCACTTAATTGCTTTTGCATTTTATAGTTTTAAAATTGAGGTGTGTGGAATTTTATAGTTCTTTCACTTTATAAGTATAAAGTAAGTAACTTTATCAAAGTGGATTTTTAGGGCATAAATGCACTTCACCTTGTTTTCAGGAATCTTCTTAGTTGTGTGAATTTCATTTTGTATTTGTAACTGAGTTTTTATGTGCATGCTGTTTTAAATAACTACTGTATGTTTCAGACAGAGCTTGAGAATAAATTACAGCAACAGTCAGCGCAGGCAGCCCAGGAACTTGCAGCAGAGAAAGAAAAGATATCAGGATTACAAAATACCTATGAAAAATGCCAGGAAAATCTAAAACAGCTTCAATCTGACTTCTATGGGAAGGAGTCTGAACTCCTAGCCACGAGGCAAGATCTTAAGGTAGAGTACATTGTTTGTAGATGTTCCTTAAATGATTCATTTGAGCCCTGATGGACAAAGGAATGTTAGTTTTGTGAAATATGACATTTTTTCATATTAAATTACTACTTTTGGGTTAACATGTTTTTAAAAAATTATTTTTTATTGTAAGGAAATACTGATGTACATAAACGTGGGCATTTAAAAATGTTATCTCTATAATTTGGTGCATATGTTAATTGTTACACTATTAACTTACCTAAGGATTTTGATGTCTTTATTTGAAAATAACTTCAAAACTGGGCTTAGTTAAAACTAAGGAGTTTTAAATGTAAACTACTTGTGAAAAATGTAAACAATTTTTTTAATTGCTTGTCAGACAATACTGACTTTAGTTTTCTAAATTTATCAACTTCTCAAGATTACTGGAATGCCTGCTGATTAAAATTAGGAGATTACAGCTCAAATTAAATTAACTTTAATTATCTAACACCATAGAAATTGTGTTCTGAGTATTTTATTGATTAGCTAAAGCATCACATTAAATGATGGATATGGAAAAAGGTTAAACTATTTTTATATAACATCAAGGTATCAGTTCTTTAAGGAATGGAATGAATATTGATATTTTCTCACAGAAGATTCAGCCAGTCTGTGTGTGGGGCACCCCCTCACCCCCGGCCATGAGGAGGTGAAATATCATGCTTTCTGTTTCTTTCCTGTTTTTTTCCTGTTTTTTTAATTTACTTTAAGGTACACTGTTGAAAAATTCTACTGAAAATCACAAAATATTAAGATGTCTTAGAAACACAATGTATATATTTTATTCATAGGCTCTTGTAGGGAAGGTTTTCTAAAGGAGATAGTACTTGCCAAGGTCCTGAAGCATGTGTACAGTGCAGAGAGGACTGAGCAAGATCATTTCACTCTGGGGCACTTTGGAGAAAAGTGGCCTCCATGGAAGTGAGCAAAGGAGGGCACAGTTAATGGTTGTCTTGTTGAAGTGCTGGTCTAATATGGGTTAAAAGGTTAGGTCTAAATCATGAAATATCTGTTGCCTGACAAAGACAGTTGAATTTTATATTTGAGGAACAAGTGAAGAGTCTAGGCAGAGAAGTAAAGGAAGAAAGCACTCTTTTAGGAAACTTAACCTGGCATAGTTTAAAGAAGCTTGGGTTGACTATAATGGAGAGATTAGTTAAGACATTATCTTTCTTCATAAATTTTGAGTAATCAGAATCTAATCTGTTTGGTTAGAACTAGGACTAAAGTTAAAGAAGATGAAATAAAAGAGATGAATGAGGGACAGAGGTGAAATAAAGGGCAGAAAAGTAGGCAGCAGGGAGTGAGGGAGTCGGTGATAATCAATGATTTAATGAAGTACAAGATTGGGTAGAAAATTTTGCATAGTGCCAATAATATATACTTAAACATATTGTATATAGCAAGATCAAAAGATCAAAATTAGTGAGAAAAAATAGGAAACCATATTTATAGATTTTTTATAGAAATAAAAAATACCACTTGACATTTAGGTGCTGTTAAATTATTATTATTTTCTTCACAACACTTGTAAGGCAAGGAAGACTTGTGGAAAAATCTGGACTTAACCTAAAAGCAATGAGGAACCACGGAAGGGAGTTGCATAGATTGGTATTTCAGGCAAATGAAAGTAAGGAGAGTAAGGAGAGTAAGGAGAATAAGAAGTGGAGTGTGTGGGAACAGGACAGAATATAGAGGACACTCTGTGCAGTCCAAGTGCAAAATGATGGTGTTTGGGCTGATAGTAACAGTAAGGATGAAGAGAAGTGGGTGAATTTGAAGAATATTTGAATGGTAGAAGAGATGAAATTTAATGATTGATGTAACAGTCCTCTGGAAATCACTCTTTTCATACTGATACATCATTTACCCAGAGTGTAACCTAGTAACAGGACATATAGCTCTTAAATGAACTTTCACTAAGTCAACAATTTTTAGCCTGTAAGCTTCATTGTACACTTATAATTTCGTACATGACAGAATAATTCAAATGTAAACATAAACAAGAAGAGAAAGCAGAGGGACAGGTTGGCACAGCATCTGACAACCAAGAGGCCTTGGATAAACCCTGTTTTCGACACCTGTCTTTTACAGGTGAGGGTAGACCCAGTCCTACGCAATAACAGAACCATGGTTAGATTTTAGTTCTTATTCAAAGCCCTCTGTTCTTTCTTTTACCACCATTTCACTAGACTTTTTTTTTTGACAAAATAAATTTTTTATAAATTCTGTATGAATGCTTCTAAAATAAGTCTATGAACTACTTAGAAAATTAATTTTAAAAAAAGTTTAAATCCTAAAGAAGTTCAAGTGGTATTTAGAGACCAAAGTAAGAGATAGCCATCAATCGCTACTTTTCTTGAGCTGCAGTGATGTTCTGTGTTGCTTACAAAAGAGAAGCAGAGATTCAGAAGTTCTGTAACCCGACACCTACTAAAGTCAAGCCTGCCTGCACGCCAGCTGCCAGAGGGACAGAAGGTAGCCTGTCCTGATATGAGCCATTAGCCCCATCTGCTGGAGCAGTTATGAAATACTTTATTGACTGGATATTTTAAGTTGGCTGTGCTGTATGCTAGTCTTTGTTGTTCAGAAAAGGCAGAAGTTGGATTTGACATTCTGAGTGAAATGAAAATTCTAGGGTAATAAGTTTGGAACTAAATATAAATCTTCTAGTCTAGTACCACATCTTATACCATTTTTTCAGACACCAAGAAAAAGTAATTTACAAATAAAATTGTAAAGGCTTTATTTTGCAAGAAGAATGAGAAAACATGCTAAATAGATAAAAAGTAATGGCTAACACAAAACACTGCAAAACTTCTCTTTTGCTGGGGTATGACAATGTGATTGGCAAAATTGGTTGGTCCACTGAGGGATAAACACCTATTGCAGTGGATATGGATATATTAACGATAATTCCAGCAAAGCCATGGACTAGGAGAAGGAGGTTATAAGGCAAGACAAAGTTAACAAAGTTAACATCTTCAACAAGAAAGCTAAAACAGCAGTCTACAATAAGAAAGATAACAACACGTAAAATGCACAGCAGTATACCACGGAACAGCATAGATGGATGTTCAGAGGCAAGGTAGAGTAATACACTTTGGCACCTTCAAAAAGGACTTCATGGAACAGTCCAATTTGAGTTTGACCATAAAAAGCTAATCATTGGGTTTTGTAAGTTTAATATGTTATAGGCTGTGGATTTAAAATTTTATAAACCATGAACATTTTGAATTTTTTGTAGACCATTTAGAAATATTTTGGAATATTAGGGATACTATTGCTTTCTAGGCTATCACAAGCCTTGGTAATCTTTAATATTAGATTAGGACCACTATTACCTAATGACATTTGCCATAGACTGATGGACTAAGGTGTTATTCAGCATTTCATTGCTGTGACAAAATACCTGAGATAATAACTTAAAGGAGGAAAGGTTTATTTTGGCTCAAGTTTGAGAGGTTCCAGTTCAAGGTCAGCTGGCTCCATTGCTTTTAGGCCTGTGGCAAAACAGAAATAGCATAGTGGAAGGGTCTGACAGAGGAAAGCTCTTCATCTAATGGTACCCAGGAAGCAGGGGGCGGAGGGGGAAGAACTGGAGGAAGACCCTGGAGAAAGACACTGGGAACAAGATATATTCCCCAGGGTCACATCCTGTGACCTAGTCCATTCAAGCTGGCCCCATCTCCTGTTTCTGTCATCTCCTAGTAATACTAGCACATTATGGATCCGTCAGTGGATTAATCCACTGACGGGGTTAGAGCTCTCATGATGCAATCAGTTTTCAAGAGCCCATCAGCTAGCATCCAGGCCTTTACTACATAGTCTTTGTGAGACCCTTCACATTTAAACCATAACAACTAGGCTTTGCAAATTTTATTCTTTTCATGCAAAATTTCTCTCACCCTTTGTGCCACACAGGTCAATTCCCACATGTATCCTGGAGCCTTTTGTAAGCCATACTCCACAGAGGGTCCTGCACACATTGTTTTTCTGTGCATTTGGCACATAGGTATTCTACTACCCTGAACAATTTCTACTTACATGATTATTCTGGTTTTCAGGCTACTTAGCTCACAGGTGGTAAGTTAAGGACCATCTTATACCCTCCTGTTATGCCTTAGCAATGTACACAATAAACAGTTGGCTGTCTGATTAATAAAGAACTAAATAACTTTAGGTCTTACCTGAAAAAGCCTTAAGGGAGTCAGTGTTCTACTGACAGCCATTAAAAATTTAATTTATATCAGAAATAATTCTAAATTGAGTTACTGAGTTAATTCTAAATTGAGTAAACTTACTTTTTAAAGTTTTTAGCATGGCAAGGCATATCACAGAGCCTACTCTACATATTATGCATATATATACATACATATACTGTATCTCTTTTTAAATTGTTTTCTTGTCTATCTCCTGCTGTCCTTCTCCAACCATACCTTCACCTGTTTACTGAGTGTATTGGATACAGTTTCTAATGTGATATGCCTCACAACACCTAGTTAGTGTTGAAGGTGTGATGAGCATTGAGTAAAGAGTTTTAGATTTTTTCTAGAAGTTTTAAAATTATTTCAATTTTGCTGAAAATTTTATATGATTAATATTTTTCCATAGGCATGGGAATTAATATTCCAGATTTTTTCTCTTTTATATGGTCTTACTGAAAGGACTAACATGCTATCTTTATATAATACAATTGTGTGCCACATAATGACATTTCAGTTGGTGACAGACTGCATAAACAATAGTGGTCTCTGGAGGGGCTGAGGATTTAGCTCAGTGGTTTCGCCACCTGCTGCGCAAGTGCAAGGACCAGAGTTCGATCCCCGGTACCAAAAAAAAAAAAAAAAAATAAGTGCTCTCAAAGATTATCATGGAAGTGAGCAATTCCTATCACCTAGAGTTTTACTGGACTTTTCTTATGTTTAGATATGCTAAACACAAATACCATTATTTTATCTGTAGTATTCAGTACAGTAACATGCTGCACAGGTTTGCGGCAGATGTGGAGTAGGCTGGGTTGTCTAGGTTTGGGGAAGGACACTATGATGCTCATATGACAAAATCAGCAAACAAGAGTGTCTAGAACTTGTCCTCATTGTTGAAGTGATACATTACTATGTCTAATTTTCCATAATATTTATATTAGCTGTTATTTTTTTGTTGAAATTTGCTTAAAATGACATATAATAATTTAGGATTTTTTTTTGTAAGTCTGTAGAAGAGAAGCTCTCTCTAGCACAGGAAGACTTGATTTCAAACAGAAATCAAATTGGAAGCCAGAATAAACTGATCCAAGAACTAAAGACTGCCAAAGCTACTTTGGAGCAGGATTCAGCAAAGAAAGAGCAGCAGTTGAAGGAACAGAGTAAAACACTACAAGATATGCAAAAAGAAAAGGTATTTTGTTTTTCTGACTTAAATTCTTTTTTTTCTTTTAAATTCTTTTATTGGTACATTTTAGGTATACAGTACATTCACATTCATCATTGGGAACTTGTACCTTTACATGATGTATCCTGGATCTTATTTTTCCCCATTCCCTTGCCCTCCCTTCAACCCCTCCAGCCCTCCGTATTTGCAAAGGTTTTGTTTCCATTTATTTCTTATCTCATAATTTTTCCTTTCCCTTCTTTCCTTTCCTCTACCCCTCTCACTTCTGACTTAAATTCTGAGTCTTAGAGTAGCAATATTCTTACACATACCACTTTTATTTTCAACAGCTTTAAAATTATTGTTTAATAAGTCATTATTTTTTACAGTCAATGAAAGAAAAAGAACTAGTGAATGAAAAGTCTAAATTGGCAGAGATAGAGGAAATTAAGTGTAGACAAGAAAAACAAATCACTAAATTAAGTGAAGAACTGAAGTCCCACAAACAAGAAAGTATAAAGGTATGTTAGATAAATCATTTTCCTTTTGTCTACATTGTATTATTGTTCTTTAAACTTATACATTAAAGAGATTGACAGAAAAACTACTCTGTTAGGCCAGTTGTTTTTTTAACAAATACTCTTGCCAGAATACTATTTTACTTATCTATACACACATTGAAGCAATGTTACTTTTGTTATCAGATTGCTAAATAAAGCAAAGTAAGAGTTTAGATTTCATTGAAATGGTAATGAAGATTGATGTTATTTAGAAAATTATGCTCATAGATGTGCAAGAATTTAATATTTTAAGGGAGTCTGTTTTTGCAACACTTTTCTAGAATTCTTTAATCTCTTCTTTTTACATTGTATCTATTATAAGCATAGGACATCAGTTGAAGACTGTTTATTGTTTGCTTTATAAAATGTTACTCATTTTCTTAGAAAAAGACTAGATTCTCTCTTGAGAGCTCTTGTTATAGCTTTTATATCTATCATCATACCTAGCATTTTGCATCATAATTTATGATCTCCTGTCCTTCTGTTCCTCTGGATGTGACTTCCTGAGATCCAGGAATGTATACAATTCCCTGTGTCCTCAGAACATGACACAGCGTTTGATACCAAGATGATGACAGATAAATGCTTGTTAAGTGAGGAAAGGAAAAGTAGGGAGTAGAGATTTTCCCCCCATACTGGTGTAGAATCAAAACATGTGCATTCCAGATATCACTGGAATTAAATGACAACTGAGAAAGAAGTAAATAATCTTGTACCTTTTTAACCAGTTGTTTACTGAATTTGAAGAACTGCATAAAAGGAATAAACTCATTGCTGTGGTAAACTGCATAAAATTCAGCTGCCTTTTGAATATTTACCAGTAAGCATGATTTATATCTTGGCCTTTTCAATAGGAGATAACAAATCTCAAGGATTCAAAACAGCTTTTGATTCAACAGAAATTAGAACTTCAAGGAAAAGTAGATTCCCTGAAGGCGGCTCTGGAGCAGGAGAAGAGAAACCAGCAGATGCTGAAAGAGCAGATGAAAAAGGAAGAAGATGAACTAAAGAAAGAATTTAGTGAGAAGGAAGCTAAACTGGTCAGTGAGTTAATGATGGGAAATATGCTTTGTAATAGAGGTTTAAATCAGTCCAGGGAAAAGACTTTTCTAGTACAAGTTTTGAAATGCTTTCTTAACCTTTTAATTTTAAAGTCTGATTTGCTTAGATAGCTGACATGTGATTAGAAGTATTCTGTAATCTTATTTTGGTTTACGTAAGTAAAAATTCAATTGAAATATAATTTTAAAACATTTTTAGTGCTGGAACCAAACAAACCCATGACCAGATAAATTGAAGTATAGAGTATAAAATATAATCATGTTAAGCTCGTTTGTTTGGTCAAAGTGGATATTGGTGAGGGAGAATGGAAATTTTAGTTAGGAATTACGGTGACAAGTCTGCTTTTCCTTCCCTAAGTTGTCCATGCCAAATGGGAAGCATCTGGCTTTCCTTTATTGAATTAACTCCAAATATTCCCAGATAACTTGATGGCTAAATGTTTTTAATTGAAGACTTCCAATTTTAGTTCAGTGATTCAAAGGCCTTGCATTGTTCTTTAGCAGGTTAATAGAGAAATTAAAGGATGTATTGAAAGACATAAGGAAATGCCAGCTTTCTCTTTAGGGCATCCTGTAATCCCTAACCATGTGTGTCTTCCTCTGATTTGGTGGAAGAAAGAAGAATCTCAGCTTGTGTCACTTCAGCTTGGTCGTAAGAGAGGCTTGCTAACTGTTGCTTCACTGTTGTGGCATTTGTGCCCATTCAAGTTATTCGGGTGTTTAGAAATCAGTTTTATTAGGGTATAATAAATATATTTCCCTGCCTTCTTTCCTAAAGAAGCAATATTTATATTGCTGATATTTTAAATTCAATAATTAATTCACATTTATTTGATAGTACTTTTGTAACAGGTTTTCTTCCCATTTTTTCTTTTCTCAGCATTCCGAAATAAAAGACAAGGAAGTAGGAATGAAGAAACATGAAGAAAATGAGGCTAAGCTTACCATGCAGATTACAGCACTGAATGAAAATTTAGGCACTGTAAAGAAGGAGTGGCAGTCAAGTCAACGGAGAGTTAGTGAGCTTGAGAAACAAACGGATGACTTACGGGGTGAAATTGCAGTGTTAGAAGCCACGGTTCAGAATAATCAAGATGAAAGGAGAGCACTACTAGAAAGGTGATTGCTGTTGAGTAAAGTCAGTTTATTTCTATAATAAGGGATAAAAATTTGTCATATTCCACATTTTTAAAAGAGAAAGATGTATAATCTCAGCACATATTTAAGTAGCCATCTAAAATTTAACCCTTAAAATAATCCATTGAAATTAATATAACAGATGCTGGAGGGGTTGTGGGGAAAAAGGAACCCTTCTTCAGTGCTGGTGGGAGTACAGACTGGTGCAACCACTTTGGAAATCAGTGTGGAGATTCCTCAAAAAACTAAAACTAGGGCCAGGGATTTAGCTCAGTGGTTCTGCTGCCTGCCTTGCAAGCTCAAGGTCCCAAGTTCAATCCAGGTTCCCTTTGACCCAGCTATACCTCTTATTAGTATCTTCCCAAAAGAATTAAAAGCATTATACCACAGCAATATATGCACACTCATTTATAGCAGCACAGTTTGTAATAGCTAAAACTTAGAAACAGTCCAAATCCCCATCAACTCACGAGTGGATAAAGAAGATGTGGTATTTTTAAACAATGGAGTACTACTCCGCCATAAAGAAGGATGAGCTTCAGACATTTATAGCTAAATGAATGGACCTTGAGACCATACTCTTAAGTGAAATAAATCAGAGACACATGTTTTAAATGCACATTATTCCTTTGGTATGAGAAACTGAATGTGGAAATAAGAACTGAGATGTATAGTGGATGTTGGGAAATGGGAAGAGAGTGTTCAAATGGGCAAGGGAACAAGGGAGGAGAGAGGGAGAAAGGAAGAGACAAGAAAAAAAGTGAAAATAGAAGGAAGAAATGGAAACAAAGCTTTTGTACATAGGGGGAGAAGGGGGCATGAGGCGGGGTATGATAAAAAAATAAATTTCTTTTAAAAAAAATTAATATATATCTAAAATTACTAATGTAGTCTATTACCTGTTTTTGAGAAGGGTCATTAATGATTCTTAAAAAATTAATTGTCTCTTCACTATTTATTCCAGATGCCTTAAAGGAGAAGGAGAAATAGAAAAGTTTCAGACCAAAGTACTAGAGTTGCAAAGAAAGCTGGATAATACGACCGCAGCAGTGCAGGAGCTAGGCAGGGAAAACCAGTCTCTTCAGGTCAGTCCCCTAGTAACTTGAGGCGGTTTCTTAGTCTAAAATTGACCTCTCAGCGAAAAACATATTTTCACCTCCAGGGACAATGGTGTAGTTCAAGAGCCATTGCCTAGCATCTGCAAGGCCCTGTGTTCTAGCACTGCAAAACAAAAAAGTGAAAGTAAAATAAAACCAACGGAACCTCATTTGTTTCAGAGTCACACAGATTAGTTAGAGATCCATGCCATTCCTGAATTGTCTGTACTAGGGAAGAATTACAAAATTCAAGAATACCAAGAGATGGATAAGTCCGGGTGTGTTAAAGAAGAAGCAGTCTGTGTGTATTCTCAGAATCCAGGAGGGACTCAGAATCTTAGGGTTAGAATGAAGGTGAAATCACCAAAGCCTAGAAATTACTAATACTTCTTAGGAATTAAATCTTATTTAGCTTTATTTTGTCTGTTTTAGTTTTATTCAGATTTATGAGTGCTACTATTTTTGACAAGTGGAAATTGACCAAAATACAGTATATCTTTTTAAAATTTTTATTCAGTGTTGCATATAGGCAAAATTTTATAAATATCTGACACCTTAGTAGAAATAATCCATTATTCTTTAAAATGTGGTATAATTTGTTGAAACTTTTTTTTTAACAGATCAAACATACGCAAGCACTGAATAGAAAATGGGCTGAGGACAATGAAGTACAAAACTGTATGGCCTGCGGGAAAGGCTTTTCAGTCACAGTGAGACGGGTGAGTGGCTCTGTTCCTAAGCTGCATTTCTGACTTTATTTCTATTCACAATCCTTTAACTGTCAAAGTAGTTATGCATTTGACAGATTAAAAAAAAAATTTTACTTACAGGTAAACTTTCGTTTTCAACTACCTAGAAGAATTAAACGTCATGGAGTCTAGTTTCTGTTTAGCACATGTGCTTTAAACTCAGGCGTTTCTTCTCTACTTTTTCCTCCTCTGGGACAGTGGTTTTCTGGACCAGTGTGCCAGTATTAAACTCATATGTTTTAGTCAACATTAGTTTAGTCAACATTTTGAAGGAAGGAAAAGCAGAGCATATTCAAGAAATGTATTTTAAATAACACTATCATTTTAAAATTCCAGTGGAAGGCATTCCTGAGACCTTTGGCAAGTCGGAATAGTTTTACGTTTGCTAAAGATGCTTTAACACTTTCAAATGCCTCCTTGGGTTCTGAGAATTTCATGATAAAAGCCACATAAAACGTTTAACATGGTGTTTGATAAATAGAAAGCATTCAAATTGAATATAACAGAGGGCTTCAGTTTATATGTTGAAATAAGTATGTCATTAAATCATACAGTAACCACTGGAAAGTTAGTGTACCTGTATACTGTTAGTATGCAGTTTAGTGTGTGATATTCATATGTTTTTATGATGTTTTCGGTACAGTTTTTAAGCTTGAAATTGTTTAATTTTTGTCATCTACAGCATCATTGCCGACAGTGTGGAAATATCTTCTGTGCTGAGTGTTCAGCCAAGAACGCCTTAACGCCTTCCTCCAAGAAACCCGTCCGCGTCTGTGATGCATGCTTCAATGACTTGCAAGGGTAATGGTTAGCACAGCGTCACGTTAGGTTTTTAATAAATGTGCTTAGCAGGTCTTGGACTGTTTGATTTGGACTCTGGCGGCAATTCTAGACCAAGTTAGAATTCGTATATTTTGGAATGTTATCAATATCAAGTAAAAGTCTTCTATTTTTGTGAGTCTTGGATTCATCTTCATTACTTTTTTCCATTTAACCCCTGGAACAGCTTTCATGCCAAGTTCAGAATTAGTTAATGAAATGTAAATAAACTTTGGACAGAAAATAGCAATGTATTTTTTTAAATATAATTTCATTGTTCACAAATGGTGAATACAGTTCCATAGATCACTTCTTTCTCCCAAATTATATGTACAAAAATGTACATGGATGATGTTTTCACTTGCTTTTGTTGCACAATAACATATTAATTACATTAAATATTCTCTGTGGAGTCATGCACAAGACTATAACACTTTCTTTTTCTCTTCTGTAAAGGTCTGTAGCTCAGTTATATTGTTTTGTTTTAAATTTACTACTTGGGTATTCTAAATATAGTTTATGTTAAAATATGTATTAATCATAAATTCGAACATGATTTTTGTTTTAACAGTATTGATTATATTGTCTTGAGTACATTTTATAAAATCCTCTGTAAAATAAATTTGCCTACTTTGTGATAACCTTAGGGTTATGTTTCAAAGACTAGGATTAATTTTTCTTTTTCTTTGTGCCTTTTTTTATCTCAATTTTAAACTCCTACATATTGTCCCTTAAAAATCCTATAAAACCCCTTACCTTCTCTGTTGGAGGGTGAAAAGTAGAAATTGTATTATGGTCCAAGTCTCACTTTCTTGTTAGTGGGAAGTCTTGAGATTAGTTTTATATTACAACCTTACAACTCTTTATCTTTGTCAAGCATCTCCAGGAATCTGAATTTCTTTTTTAAAGGATCTGCCATTTTTCCTTTACCTGGTTTTACCTTCTCAAGCGTAGCTCAGCTTCACTGTAATTGTTTTTGTAAATTTGCATTTAAAGTTAGTAACTTATATTGCTATAGTTATATCCTTGAAAACAAAATATAAAATGGTAAGAAGAGGTAAAATACTCTACTTTATATTTTCTTTTTACCTAACAGCAAAGAATTTTAAAAAACTGTTAAAATTGACTTACTCTTAAAATGGTTCTAGGTTAGGGTTTTATATTAACTGGGGAATCTTGACTGTAAAAATAATGCTATGACATTACCTTTAACTAACAGCTAGACAATAGAGTATCACCCAAGACAGATGTACTTAGAAACCCTAATGTTACCATAAATACTGAAACAGAATTGCCAAGAACCTTAAGGATAATTAAGAATTAACCTATTTGTATGTTGAATAATGAAATTGAATTTTAATATTTCATAGTCTTATTAATTTGGAAACTAGGAAACATCTGAAAGCAGAATTCATTAATTTTAGTTTATTATCTTTCTAGAGAAAAAAATGTTAAAGTTACACATTCATTCAGTGCAATCATTTAGTAACAAGGCAGAGAAGGATGAGAGTATCTCATTTACAATAATTCATAAGAAACACTTGCTTTCAAATATCAGACTGAAATGAAATCATGTTTATATAATACCTAGAACATAGATAAATGAAAAGATGCCACATACTCATTTAATTATTTAAAAAGTAAACCCTGTTGTCAGTAGCTATTAAGGACATTAAGTCCCCAGACTTGGATAAACATACATCCTTGAGCATATGTAATGAATAAATGCAATGACTATTAAAATAATAGTTGGATAATATAAACTGAGCTATTCATGCATTTTATATCCTCATAAGACCTTTCAAATAGTATTAATTCTATAATTTTACATTAAAGTAACTTAATGAATTTGTTAGAAAAAGTCACTGAACCACCATTTTTTAATTTGTTTTAAGGTAATAAAACTTTATGAGAATTCTGGGTGAGAATGTTTCTTCACTTCATCTCCTCCTGGGATACACTATAGACTTCTGCTCCCTCCCTGAGTCCCTGCATACATTCAAAAAAACATTGTGGAGACAACAAATAAAACCATGATTGAGTGATTTTTCTCATTTTTGTCTAGTCTCATTTCATAGATCCCAAATAATCTACCTGCCATTGGCAACTAGACAGATAAAATAAGTGAAACCAATCAATTTTGCTAGTAGCTTACCAGTTGAATGTGTTTTGAAAATAAACCTTAATGTCCTTTTCCCCTTTAATTAAAGAGACCTCTTCTGTGTTCTTATTGACTCTACGTTCTAGGTGTTTGCTGGTACTATTGGTCAGTGAGACAGAGCTGGCACTCTTGGTTCTGGTGCAAAACATTGGCATCAAGTCTTAGTAAATTGCAAACCTCGGCATAGAAATGTGAGTTAAAAATCAAGTCTTGCTGGTTAGTGTACAATAAACTTTTAATAGAAAGAAGACAGTGCTGCTGGTATAGGGTTTGTTCCTTTTGAAGAAAGAAAGGGAAACAAACACAACACCTCAAAGCAGTGTACAAATAACATTTTGTTCAACTACCTCTTAAAGTGGAGTTAGTAGTTTAATAGTTTCCTTACAGTAATGTTAAATAGTAATTGCCAAATTTGTTATTTTCCCATCCTTTAAAAAGTGTTTATGATTATTTTATATAATTTTGAGATCTTAAAGTCACTTTTTTTTAACCTTGCATTTGCATAAAAATATTTAGCTTTTAAGTGGAGAGCAAATTATGATCATATATTTTGATATTCATGACCTGTTTCACTATAGCAGTTTTTTTAAAATGTACTTTGGCTGTAAGATTGTGGATGATTTGATCCATAAGATTTAAATGCGCCATCAATTTACTATTTGTAGACATGAGCTTGATGAATGATATTCAGTAATTATAATGTGCCACGTATTACCATGTCTTAATTTCCCTTTGCCTGAATTTTAATGATCAATTTGTTATTGTTGCAGATGTGAATATTGTGCATACACTTCCAAAATTTATGTAAGATTGTATAAGATGGAATTGGAAATCACATAAGTTCTTTCTGTGCAGAAGTACTGAGCTTACTGTAACATGATGCAGTCCTGTGTATGGCATTCTGTACTTCCTTGAACTGGATCATGCAGTCATAGCTTCTGTATATATTTTTGCATGAATATTTTTTCATTTAATTTTTGGGTTCATTATTTGTATTGTGTTTACTATTTGTGATCATATAGTTGTGCCTTATTTTGTGACAGTTTAGCTCAATAAATACTGTAATTTCTAACCTCACTGATAAGAAGGTTATTGATTATAAATATACTTGATAAATTACCTGACAGCATTTAAATCTGTATAAAGAACAATGGAAGGATCCTTATTGAATTGTTTCTTTTGTTTTTTAAATGTTAAAAATGATATTAAAAACATTTCTTTCTAGTAGATGTGGTCTGGGACTAAATAATTTTGTCTACTTGAAAAAGAACAATATGTTAACCATTTTCCATGAATTATTTTATAGAATATTAGGATTTTGCACTTGGATATAGACAATGATGTTTTAATGTTCTTGAATTTAGAATACTTATTCATGATCTCTAGAGAAATTATTACTACCATTTTGCTTGAGACATTCATTCTCTTTTCACTATACTCAATATTATAGAGAATTACTAAAACTAAAAAGAGTATAAAAATATGAAATTAATTCCTTCTTTCATTGTGTATGTAAATTTAATCCCCATGTGACCCAATGTACCGCTATTTTTTATTATTTTTTTCCTGGGCACTAGAGTTCCAGAATTTTTTTTCCCTATTTCATACTAATGTCCTTCTCACCGAAAAATTGAATATGCATATCCTGAAGCATGTAGCAAACATATTGTATATCAGATGTAGTAAACATATTGTATATCAGATGTGCTATTTTGTGAGCTTTACAGTGTTCCAGTTTATGCCATATTCTTGAGCCATTTTACATCCTTTATGTTAATTCTTTTTCTCTATATAATGAGATTTAAGACTCATGGGACTAAAGAAATCTTGAGACATCGCCTCGTGCTAATCCACTGCCTTCCTCCTACATTGATTTGTAGCTAAAATACCCTGCAAGATGATTGCTAAAAATTTTTTCCTGAAAATATTTATTGTAACCAGAATTTCTTTAAAAGTCTGGCATAAACCTCTGTTTATGCTTTCAATTCCATTCAGATATTATCTCTAGGGACTCAGTTGAAGTCTCTTCTTTTCTACCTTCCTCCTCTGCCATTTATTCTTAGCTATCAACAACAGTTACTACTTCCCAGATTCGTCCTTTATTTTTACTCACCCCTAATAAATGTCTGACTCTACTATAAGGAGACTGTGCCTCCATTCTAGTAGTGCTGGATCCTCGCCCCACACCTGTCTGCTGCACTTGTCTGTACTACTTTGTTTGGGTGGTGAACTCTGTGTCCACGTTTAAAAACCTGCTGTACACCTGACTTCCCCAAACTTCATCCTCTCTATCCAGAAGAAGCCAGTTAATGTTTCAGCCAAATTTGGTAAATTTGTTACTTCTACTTTGGAAATTGCAGAAAGTACTGTGATTGAAATTGATATTTGTGGTCTTCCATTTAATAAACTTTGGCCCTAAGAACTGGTTCCTTAATTGCAGTGATAATAGTTCAAATAGCTCATCTTGATAAAGTCTAATGAAGTTTTAAATTTTCAGATAAAATGAAGTGATTGTACTATGCTAACACACACACACACACCACAAAATGTTTTTTGACAAATACCATCATTCTTCAAAAATTGAAGTTAAGAGAAAGATACTATTCCTATGAGCAGCTTCCATGTAAAGATGTTAACTCGTAAATCTGGAATAATTTTTTTTTTAAACAATGGAATTTAGTCTTTGGGGTTTTCATATTACAAATTAGATCATTATAAATATATCTAAGATATATAAACTGACTGTTGAAGATAGGAATTCTAAAACTGCTATTGAAATGAACTCCTTATTTATTGTATAATATATTTAAAAAGCCACAAATGTAGATCAAAAATTGTCATTGTGTTTGAGGTAGGACTATAAAGCAGTAAGACTGATTTACAAGCAACGTAGAAAAATTGGTTTCATTATTTTATAGATACTTATGGAGTAAATGCTAGAATTCACATTGGACACAAGCACTGCCTAATCTTTCTGATACTCCATTTGCCTGGTCATTCACCATTTACAAATTATAACAGCACCATTCTTCACCTGCTCTTCATACAGGTCTGACTGAAGCATTAGAAGTCTGGATATCAATATATATTTGTCAAGAAATCTGAATTCAAATTTGTTGCAGTCATTATTTCTCTAAGGACTTTCCTAGCTTAAATTCTCAAATTCTGGGATGCCTTTAAAAAGCACATTTCCTTTTAGCTCATCGTGAGATAAGTGTTAATAAGTTTAAATGAAATGCTTTAAACCCTAACCTCTGAAAAGTGTGGACTTGTTTTAAGTCCCTAAATTTCAGAAGATTCTGCAGGCAATGTGAATAAAGATATTTTCTTGGTTTCCTGATTCTTACTGTAGCAAGAGATTGCTGCTGTTAGTTGTGCTATCCATGCTTTCTGTTGAAAAAGAAAAATACGTAAATAGAATGTTAAACTGATAGTTTCTCACATCTGAATTAATATTTTCCGTTTATTAATTGGCTTGCTCTTTAAAACTGAAGACTAACAAACATTTGCAGATGTTTCTCACTTTCTTATATCTAATATAAATACCTCTAGTCAGATAGGAAAATGTAAATGGATTAAATGGTGAGTAGTGTGTAAGTTGGATAATCAGGGACCAATGACAACTAATTAGACTAATAAGAAAAATTAGTACTGACAATAAGTTTGAAAGTTGAATATCTTGAATTCCCCTTGAAAAACAGAAGTTCTTAACCAGTGATATAATTTAAAAACATAATTATAAAAACAGGTTCTGAAGGAGATGACCCAGGAAATTGAGTTCTTAAGAATAACAGAATAATGCATTTCTTGTCTGGCCATATTGTTGCTGTGGTGGAAGACTACAAGGGGAAGGACAAAAATAGAAACTTCTAAATAGAGAAACCAGAGTCAGGCCGCTGCTCTTTCAACTCCATAGCTATAATAACAATGGCATATTTTCAAAACAAATAGACGACATGGGTCACAATTGCATTGTTTGATATCATTTATGCTGATGGCACATTATTTCCATTCTGGAAAATGACTGGAAAATCTTAAAAGTGAGCCATGCAATCCAAAGCAGTTCTTTCCCTCTTTCCTACAGAAACTGCAGAATCAAGGCAGCTCTTGACTTTCTGCAACAGGAAAAAATAAGACGGGCTGTGTCAACTCTGCAAATGTGAGGAAATTGTCGTCCCTGAGGTTTCGGAGCGTGATATGGACTAGAGGTCCTTCACCACCTACCAGTTGCTCTCCTTTCCTAAGTGAGTCAGGACAATACATAAAATCTCCCAATTCATCATCATTACTTAACAGGCTTGGAATTTTTCTTTATATAAGTGAACTCTGAAGAATCAAAGATCTAAAAACCTAAGATACATACTTTGTCATTTTCCATCTGGGCTTGTAATAAGAATGCTGCTATACACTGTCGATATCTGTTTTCATGTTGTATAAGAAAAGCATTTCTCAGTCCAAAGACTAGAAAAAGATATTGCAAAGACAAAAAGCCAAATTAATATGAAATCCAAGCAGTGTCTTAGTACAAGAACCTGGGGTCTTGTCTTTTATTTTGGTTTCTATTTATAATGAGGGTGGAGATTTATGTAGATTACCAAAGAAACAGTTCTAATTCCAAAGTCAAGACCCCACTGCTGTGTCCAAACAGAGCCCACTTTAATGCAAAAACCCTTTCTCAGCTAAAGACATCTGGGAGCTGATGAAATGCAACTGAAGCACAGAAAATAAGCTCTGCACAAGACAACGTGAGTGTGATTAGGTACATTTTGTGTATGTGTGTGAAAATGTAATTAAAAATGAAAACATGGAAAACAATGTATTCTTTTTTGTCTCCACTATTTAAATGTTTATTTTTGTATTTAAAGGGAAGTTACATCAAAAGAAGGTATATAATCAAAATGTGGCAAAAATTCAAAAATCACCTGAATAGGCCAAGAAAAGCTAAAAAACTGATTGAAATAAAATGCATTATCCACCAAATGATGTGAAATATATAACAAAACAAAACAAAAAGAAATGCCTGGTTGTTGTGTTTGCAGAAGAAACAAATTGCTCCATTGGTTTCTGGTTGCTCTTAGCAATGACAGGAGGTACTAGGGAGCATTCTTGTTTTTTAACAGAAATTGTGGAAATGGAAGTGTCTGCCTTGAATTATTAGTACAACAAAAAATAAAATTCTGTAGCTTGTATAGTCTTTCTGAAGTCCTTAATGTTGAGAATCAGACAAACCAACAAACCAAGCCAGTTCTGACTCCTAGTCATCCAATACATTAGGGAGAAAAAAAGAGCAAATTCCTTTTATTCCTGATGCATCTTCAAGTGATTGTATTGTTGAAGTTGGTGAATTTAACCCTGACGTATCTGAGGCCGGTCAGGCTTTATTTCCAAATCAAAGGGAATGCAAGCCTTTTATTTTCTTAACTGCAAGAAGTATTTCATTATCACAGATTATACTCAAAATAGTGTAAACCTCATAATTCCTAAAGTCTGCTGCAACAGATTAGTCAATGTCAAATCATAAAACACTGTCCAGTTTCCCTGGGATAAGAAGAGTAAAACTATTAAAATGACTTTCTGGAAAAAGATCTGGCTGGGTTTGTTTTACTCCCTGATTTTTTTCTCTTCTAAACCTCTGCAGCACACGAGGTTTTAAAGATCATATTGTTCTTGGCTGGTGTTTGGAATCCATTTTCTCCAAACATTGAAACTGGAGTTCCATTGGCAGTCACTTGTTTGGATTATAATATGGGCATAAGGGACTTCATAAACAGATGACCTGGTACAGTCAGGTCTGTAAAGTACAATAAGGAGATAACACGAAAGAAAATAACTCTTTTTTAAAAACTTTTCTAATGTAGTTACTAACAATTTTAAAGGCATTTATTAGGTACTGGGCTCCACACTGTTTTTGCTTTCTCTGTGTTGTGTCATTTAAACCACACAGCAATCATGTGAGATAGGTCAACTAATTCCTGCTTAACAAGTGAAGAACTAGGAACCAGATGTGATTTTTCTGTGATCTGGCCACAGTCTGGAATTAGGTCTCTGTCATTCCAGTGGCCAGTCTCTTCTGTCCCACCTTCTCCTTCCCACTCGCTAGCTATTCTGCCTCGTGCACTATATACAGTCAACATTACACCAAGGGAACAAGAAAACCATTTTCAAAAAAGGAACAAGACATGTTAGTTGCAAATCAGAAAATAAAATTTTAAAAAGTGGAAGTGTTTTTTAGAAAGATATTTTCATTGATTTTTAGAAAAAGAACAGAGGAGAAGCAGAGATCTACCAAAGAAATGTCAGATTTTCCATAAAGTCCATTTCTTGAGGCCGACATGGCTGTGACTAAACTGATCTCTCAGCCAAGCTGCTCACTCTCTCCTAATCGGGTTAGGGGATCTTCCTCCACTCATGAGGCCAGAATCATCATAGCTGCTGTAGTGGGATAATACACTCCTAACCCGGAATGCCCTCTGTAATGGCTCTTCCCTCATGAAAAAGTAAACAAATCACAACAGAATCCTTCTTTTCTTGCACTACTCTTCCATCTCCTAAGCAGGAGCAAGCTCACACTGAAAGGGTGCACAAGGTAGAAAAAACCCCTCAGTTTAGTCTTGATTCTAAAACTTTCTGGCTCATGCAGACTTTGGCCCATGCTATATTGGAGTCAAATACACCCAGGTAGTAAAGGTTTGGTTCCCAGGCTGTGGGAGGTGGAGTCTGGTGGAAATATTTAGGTTGTAAGGGGCATGTCTTCAAAGGGAATTATGGGACTCTGATCTCTCCCTCTCCTCCCCTTTCCCCTCCCCTCCCTCTCCCCCTCCCTCTCTCTGTCTCTCTGGCAGTGAGGTGAGCAGTTTTGTTTCTACCATGTGCTCCTGCTGTGATATTCCTCCTAGCCACAGATTTAAAAGAACTGGCCCAACCCATTATGGACCCCAAGCTCCAAAACTGTGAGCCAAAATATACCTTTTCTCTTCATAAGCCAAGTATCTCAGGCTTTTGTTATAGTGATGGAAGGCTTACTAATACAGCCTCTATAGACTGCAGTTGGTCCCAGCCAAATCAAACACAAAAGACTATAGCCTACCTGCTTGTGTCCACTTTCAGAAGATCTTACTGAAGCAGAGAGAATAGAAGCTGTGTTTTGGATATGTGTGTGAATATGTGCATACATCACGTATTCATGCATACCTATTTCTAGCACATTCCTTCCTATAGCATGACTGTAATAAAGAAGCTTATACATTTATAATGTATCATGCTTTATCAGTGCTTTACTGATAGCAATAGTACTAATAATACTAATAGGATAGCAATACTAATAATAGCTATCATATATTGGGTGCATTGCATGCATTATTTCATTTACTTCTCATGAAAATTCACTGAACAGATATTATGTCTATCCCTAAAGTGACAAAGCTAGCAAGTGGCAGAATGAGGTAATCTAAGCATTGGGCACCATAACTAATTCATAGAGTGAATGATATATAACACACAGAACACAGTCTTGTATTTTGTGACGACATTACATTGGACTGATGTCTTGCTACAAAAGAAAAAAAATTCAGTATAAAGCTATGATGGCCATCAGAGGAGCTGAGTGTTGGAAACAGACACGTACCTGACACGTGGAGTGGGTCAATACTTTTGACTACCAATCTATCTAGTGGAATGGGTTGATCAAGTACTTTACATGAACCACCCTCTTTTATTATGGCTTGCAGCTCAGGAGTAAGCAAAGGACACATTACGCCAGTGTCTGAGCCTCCAAGTTTCTGAAATTAAAGAGGAAAATCATGCAACACATAGAAAACAAATACTGGTGCATAAACCTCAAGTGCATGCTTAAGCAAATGAGTTCTCATAAACAAGTCTCCTGACAGCCTGCTTACTGTCCTTTTTGGATATGAAAAAAAGCAAGTCCTCAAAGCATAGTGACTCAAAGCAAAGTGTTTCTGACCTCTATTTTTAATTACCCAAATAAAGAATGGCTGGCACCCATAATTGGAAAATATTTTAATCCCCATCACATCACTGGGAAGATCTTCATTCCCAGTATCTTAATCCTTCTCTAGTACTGATTTGAATGAATGAGAAAGAGGAGCTTATTTTGGCCAGTTCTGTGTGCGGGATCTAATATGAAGCTGCAAATAGATTCTATGCTCTATAATTCATAAATAATTGAAATTGTTTTGAATATATAAGATGAGGAATTACTTGAAAAAGGTGTAAAAGAGTGTAAAAGATTGTGATTTGCATGATATGTATTGTATACCAAATAGCAAAGAGGAATGTGAACTGGTAGCATTTCTTGTTTTGAAATGAAGTTGTGAAGCATGAAACCAGAATGTTACCTGACTATGCAATTGATATGGGCTGCCATCAACTGATGGGCTCTGATTTGTGCCACTTTTGAAGTGGAGGTGCATTGCATTGGCATCATGTTTTTGAAGGGGGTAGAGATTTTTCAGAACTTGTCTTATTTAGACATGCTAGTCTGAGGATCTTAAATAGGAGTCCATACAAATTCTTTAATGGTGACTTTCAGTATTCTCTAACACCCACTCCCTCCCAAACCACCCATCAGCTAGCTATTCATAAATTAATGAGTGTCTATTTTATTGCTAAAAGATTTTTAAAAAATTATTTGTCTCAACTAACCAACCTGCCTTCTACAATCTTAGTTTATTAAGAAATATGAGACACTTAACTTATGATATTATCTGTGTAAGCCTAGTCATTTGATAAAGAAATGAATGCAATAAAACAACATCAGGTATCTCTGATGGCATACGACATGGCAGTTCCTCTTCCACCTCCAAGGGCAGGTGTCTGTGAGCCTTCCTGACACTATGCTTAGCCACCACTCAGGAGCAGGCTGCGAAATCGGAGATTAGACAGAAAGCCTCCTGTGGACTGTCAGACCAATGGCTTAGTGGGTTTTTAAAACAAAACAATAATAATGGTAACCATAATACTTAAGAAATATGAAAAAACTCTATTCTCTGTAGAGGTTTTGTGACTCTAGCCCCTAACTGAGCCATGTTGTCAGTGATGCTAGCTATGCATTTGTTTAGCTCCTACAACAGCTCTTTTACAGGTAGAACTGAAAGATCAGGGCTTCCTCCCACCTCTCACCCCCAAGTCTACATTTCTCAAATCAGAAAGAGGAAGCCACCTTGCTGCGTGACTGCTTACAGTTTAGGGCCCCGCCCTGACTCTGGCTGCTCTTCTTGTACTAACCAATTTAGAAGGGTCAATATGAACAAAGACATTTTGGGGTTCTTTGTGTAGGCAAGTAAGGCATAAAAGCCATTGTTTATGGGACTTACCTTGAAGACATACAGACTAAGTAGTTTAAAAAAATGTACATCTCCCTTGGTATTCTTGAGAAATATAATTTACTTGTCATTTGTTTCATTCTTAGAGGATGAGATCCATTTTGAAGTATTATAAGAATATAGTTCTAACAGCTTATTTAGAAATATTTTCAAACTCATTTAGAAACTTATGTACAAATAGCAGCATTTTACCTTTTTGTTGCGCTTAGTCTTTGTAACTAAGAGGAAGTCATCGAAGAGGAACAGGTAAACGTCTAGGAATCTTGTGCTCTCTGAAGAAGAAAGAAAAGGTAAAACTGGAACTTGAAAGAGTAAGTGGAACTTTTATTTTTTAGACTGGAAAATCCTTTAGAAAATAAAACAAAGAATCCCTAGGTGGTGGATAAGAAAACTACCTGTGTCAGTGTTGAATTGATTTCTTCCTAAAGCACAGGCCTGGTTAGAGCTCAAGCATCCAACTTCAAAGACTATATTTGTGATGCGTTTCAAGTGGATCTAAGGTAACTCGGGCGGTATTTGTAATGATTTCAACTAAGCCCAGGACAAATCCATCAATTAATTGAACTTGCAGCATTTTAGCCTCTTGACTCATCTACGCATTCACCAGAGAAAAGGCATTTGGTAATGTTTGGGTAAACTGCATCTTTCCAATTCATGTGTGGAGGCCCTCATCTCCAGCACAGCGGTATTTGGAGTAAGGCAGTAGATAAGGTACAATGAGGTCATGAGCATGGAGCCCCAGTCCAACAGGATTAGTCATTCTCCGTCCTGTGAGGACCCAGCAAGGAGACACCTGTATGTTGGGAAGAGAGCCCTTGACAGAAACCAATAGAACCCAAATCCGGGATTTCTTGCCTCCAGTCTTTCAGAAATAATGTCTGCTGTTTGAACAGCCCAGTCTATGGTATTTTATTTAGCAGCTCTAGTTGACCAAAATAGTCAGGCAAACTACTTATTTCTTATGCTTTACGATGTGTTTTCAAATGTTTAAATATTCTCCATGTGCTTTTATGTTTACAAAGTTTTCTGATACCTCTTTTGATAGTTATTTCAAGCAAATAGGGTTTTTTTCTACTTCTCCCTAAGATAGAAAAAGTAACAGGAGAGAAATCAAATATTAGAATAAGGTATCCTCTTCCTCATTTTATTTCTCAGAAATTAAAAAAGCAAAAGGCTAACTTTAGGTGCCTTCAGAAAAAAAGGCTGTCTGTTTAGAGGGAGATGTCATAGGTACTTGAAGTTATGGGAAAATGTAGTACCTTTTTTAGCTTGTTCTATTTATGTTACTTATTTATATTATTCTGCTTTTATCCCTAGGAAGTAGGTGGCAAAGCTTAAATTAATAGATAAAATATTTAGGATTCACTTCTCTTCTATCTCATTAAGATTTGAGGAAGGGTTCTTTCTACATTTGCTTAGATAAGAAATTAGTGTATTCCCTTTGAATTATCCTTGAATGTTTTTAAAGAATTGTTTTCCATGACTATTAGAAACTTTCCTTTTCATAGCTCTAACAGACTGCCGTTCATCCGTCAAAACCTTTTCTTCTTTTGTAGTAACGAACCTCCTGAGTTTTAGTGGACACACATCTATAGAAAACAAAGACTGCATTGAAGCCCTTACAGCTGAATATGACCAAGGATCTAAATTCTGACCAAGAGAATGTGAGGAAGAGTTTGGTCATTGCTTCTGTCCTTCTCGCTGGGACTAGAGAATGCAAGACACACTGGTCAGCCATCTTGGGCCACAAAGAAGAAAACGAAAATAGTTCTTATGAAAATGAAATAGTTCTTAGTTCTCTTCTTAATTTCAAGTATTTCATTTTAAAAAACAGGCTATCAGCACCTGTATTCTGGGAAATTATGATTATTTTAGCCACTGTTTAGGAAGGCCCTGGGGTTCCACCAAGCAAGCAACAAATAGTGAGACGTACTGTGCACTGATGGCTAAGACAGTATCCTGCCTTCAAGGAGCTTTAATTCTTTAATTCAAGGAGCAGATGCAAAAACAACATGTAAACAAGATTTAAAATGAGATAAATTTAGAAACTGATAGTGCTAGAGAAATAAATGGGGTAATCCCAAAGACAGTGACTGAGGAGGAAGACTGTATGTCAAAAATCAGGCTGTTCACATTCACTATCCGTCTGGCTTGAGGCTAACACAGCCCAGTGGAAAGTTTTTGCCAGGTGATTCCGTTCTTCGTTAATGGACTCTGAGTCCAGAATTAGAATCCAATCAGTGCTGCACAAACTGACCTGAGGTTTATGCATTTGTGCAGTTTTAGCTCCACTTGGTCTTTATTTTTCTCATGGACTCTGTGCCGTGGGCTGCATGGAGCACAGTTGTGGCCGTATTTCAGTGAGACAGCACCTTGAGCAGCATGTGACCTTTAGGTGTCACAGTCATTGGATCATCCTGTCTATCTCCACCCTAATCACTGTCACACTGACAAACACCAGTGCATAGGAAGCCTTGTATAGGGAGCATGTGAGGGGCATGCAGCCTCAATTCTAAAAGTTATGAAAACTAGCTCCCTCAGGAAATGAGAAAATACATTTATTTGATGAAGATAGTGCAGTGTTTAACAGTGGCAGAAGTTTGGAAACACTGTATATGTCAAGTTTTGTCATATCATCATCATTATCAACATTTAGAGGAGATGAAAGGAATTCAAACAATATCCCAAAGCCCACATTGGCACTAGATCCCCTGGTTTTTGTTTGGTTTTTTTGGTGGTTGGCATCAAACCCAGGCCTTGCACGTGCTAAGCATGAACTCTACCCTGAGTCATACCCCTCAGCCACCAGATTCTTGGCTCAGTGCTTTCCCTGTGTCATGTTTCTTCTAACACTATTAACCCTGCCCCAACAAATTTGTACCCAACTCTAAGTCTAAGTCCCACTGCCTTCAAATTTGACTTTATGCTACATTATGTGGTGTCTTTTCTTCACTGGAACTTGGCCAACACAGGTTGTGGCGTTAAACAAGTGTGACTGTTTATTATACAACAGACCTTGAGCCAAGTTCTTCATATGTGTCATTTTGCTTTAACAATAGTTTTATGAGTTGCCTCTCCATTCTAGAGAGAAATTGGAGGGCACATGGCTACATCGGGAAGTCTCTGTTTAGCTGGAGGCACTCTGATTCGTATGCTCCATCTCCTTGGACCAAGGTAAACACAATTCCTTCTGCCCTTCAAATAACACCAGTTGAACAAGTTATAAGGTAGCAAAGGTGCTGGTTTTCTTAAGCAAGCAGTTATTCACCTGCAAGAGTTAATTTCCCGTCATAGAGAAGGCATCTGTTGGTTGGCGACAAGATGTTTTCTGCCATGTGTTCTTTAAAAATGTGTTTCAAATACTTGCAAAACAAGGAAGAAAATAAGAGACGATGTTAGTGATGGGAAGAGAACTTGCTCAAGGAGCTGGGTCAATCAACTGCATCTAGAATTTTCAAGCTATTTAGAAATAATCTACCAGAAAATAGACACAGGATTGGGAAAGGGGGCACAAACCTCTCAGATGGACCATCCAAGTGGTGTGGTGATTTCGGCCTCCCCACACGCAGTGCTGTATGGATGAAGGCTTTTCCTTTTGCTCATAAAACTAGATTTATTCCTTAGGTGGATGGCTGGGGACTTTCTAAGACTATTGCATTTCTACCTGAATGCCAGGCTTCCAGAAAAGGACTTAAATCTCATTCATCTTTTAGGTACCTCTGGAATGAAAAACCTTTTATCTCTGTCCCAAAGCGGAGGCCACACTATAATCTCTTGTAGATGTCTAAATTTTTGGAAATTGTCCAACCACTTCACTTTTCCTTCAAGATCCCCTGAAAAGCAAGACACATCCAACATATTTTTAAATGCCTGTAACACTGAAGCATAAATTTAAGCAACATCCACTGTAATCATTTAAAGATATTGACTGTCCCTGGAGCCAAACCACAATTATAGTTCACTTAACATATTACTTGCTGTTTAAATGTCTGAGAAAACTCATTAATTTGAGATCAACTTCTTGCGGTTTTCTCTTGCAGAGAAAAATAATGCTAATAAAGCTCTCGGTAATTTTAAAAAATTATATGCCTCACACCAGTAGAGGAAAGAAAAAAAGTATTGGGTCCTTGTCCTGATCATAAAGCATAAGCTCTTTTCATGTAACAGTGATTATTTTCTTTTTGGCAAGAACTCAATTGGTCCTTGCAAGATTGGTGTTAGTTTTCCAATAATATGTTACTGTTGAGGCCTTGAAATGAATTTTGAAAATATGGGAAGAAACTATAGACTCACAAAATAACATAGTTGAACCCTTGAGAATTTGTCATCTTTAAGAAAACAGACTTAAAGAAAGGCCACCCAGATCTATTCCTTCAACAATGAGAATCTTTTATGGAGAAGTCTCCAGCAGATTTGCTTTTATCTTCCTCATGAGCGTCCAAATGAGTAATAATCCTTAATACTATTTTAGAAGTTTCAAAAAGTTAGTCTTTAGTTGAATTTGTTTCTTATTCACTTGATAAACTTAATTCTAGTCCCTTAGATCATTTTGAAATTTGAATAAAAGATTGAAAAAGAGGAATGACCCCCTCCACATTAAACTGTTATTTAACTTTTAAATCTGCAGAGGAACACTAATGCATAATTTTTAGCTGACAACTACCATTTGGAGATGTCCCCCTTGAGAGCCACCAGGAAATCCTACTTTATAGACAAATACCATGGATATCTTTGTTTGAATTCCAGTTATACAGAAGTACATAAATAAGCTTGAGCCATCACAGGGTTTACCCAGTTCTCTTTCCCAAATTTTGATTTTAAGATTGCAGTTGGCATAACATTGGCCCTGGATTTCTGTGAAAAATGATGAATGGTGATTTATTCTCCAGGTAGGCTTTCCATGGTGTTTACTCCCATTTGCTTTGTGTGTGGGTTCAGAATAGATGTTAACAAAAAAACAACGCCAATCATCTGGGAAGTAGAACCTTTCCTGCCTGAACTCACTTCTGAAACCCTTGGAGGCAGAGCGATGTCCTGTGTAAACTTGATATTAAGAGTTCCCATTAGTTTGCCAGGATGTTTTATATGTGTTGGAACCCATTGTTTTATACGTGTTTGGTTTATAATGAACTTGAATATGGATCCTATTTCTGAGTCATGACCCCAAGTCAATGGAATTACCTTCCATCCTAGCCTCGATGGGAACCACAGGGCTCCTCAACTTTTTAATTAAGCTCAGATGTCTCAGGGACTTACGGAGAGATTTTTCCACCTTTTCCTTGATGGAGTAGATCATGATTTTCTCAGTAGAGTCTATACTCCTTCTCCAGATGTTCTTCAGCAACAAGGGATACCGGGTAAGCCTGTGTAGTGGGGCCACCAAGAGCTCGGGTAGATGAAGCCGTCTGCACTGTTCATTTTGCTCACACCACTGGGAAAGCCAAAAGCACACATTGTCAGCATATCACCTCTCTTATCCAGGCACTAAGAAGCTGCGACTCCAGAGTTTCTTAGGAGAGTTTACTCAATAACAACAGGATGCACCTGTGAGCTTGCTGAGAAAACTCATAAGCTATGGAATAACCTTTGAATTTTGAAAATTCCATGTTAAACTCTCTTTTGCTACGTAACAGTGCCAAATTCAGGGTCTGAAATTAGGTTCTTAAATGTAACTAAGAAGTATGATTGAATGTTACTAATTTTACTTTTCAGTTAAAGAAATTACAGAATCCCTTTTCAGATATTTTGGCTTATAACACTACTACTCAGTCCTCCTAAAAGGGGAAACTTATCAAGATGCAGATGCACAGGAAAAGTTTATAAACATCCTTCCTCAATTGCATGTTCCATGCATGGTAGTGATAGATGTATGAATGCGTGTTCCAGCCCGTTTACCCTAGCTCTTGAGAGAGATTCTGGTTTCCCCAGCTTTGTTCCCATCCTTGTTTTGATGCAGTTAGGAGAGATGAGAATGAAGACTGGAGATATTGAAGGATGAAGGAAGAAGTTTTGCTAGGTGGGTTAGTTCCTTGACTCTGTTGTGTTGGGAAGAATCAGGCTAATGATCAAAAATGAAAAAAAGAAAAAAAAAAGAAACTGAAAGAGACGAGTTGATTTAAGTGATATACAACAAATAGGAAAGAAGACCAGAACAAAGCCAGTTTTTGATAGGCAGAGTTCGGAGTTGGAGTTTGGGAAATGGGCAGTATGGAAGCGATGGGAAAAGACAGGAAGGGAATTTTAATAAGTATTGTTATGGCCCATACACTGGTGTACTAGAAATGATATTTGAGAAACACAAGTAAACATGAGAATAGCTTTTACATTTGTTTTTCCTTTCCTTCTTTTTTTTGTTTTTTTTTTGGTACCGGGATCAAACTTGGGTCCTTACGCTTGCAAGGCAGGCGGTAGAACCACTGAGCTAAATCCCCAGCCTACATTTGTTTTTATCTGTTGGCTGTTTCTTTGAATGTGACACTTCTGAATGTCACACTCTGAATATAAGACCTCTGGGCTTTTATGAATACATAGGCAGGTCACTGGCAGCTCAGTGTATAGGTACATTCAAAAGTATTCTTGGGGTGTGCTCCCTCTCTCTTTTGTTATCCCACTGACTAATATTAAATGGATCCCGAGTTCCTTTTTATTTTACATGTATTCTCTTTAACTGAAGGATTTTAAGTACATAAAATTCACTAATTTTAAATGTGTTTAAAAAAATACAGATGTATATCAGTTTACACCAGTAAAACTACCACCCACATCAAGATACTGAACAAAAATCTTACATATGAATGCCACATAAAGTCTCTTAAATGTGAAATATTTTGTAATGTCCTTATTTCTGCCTAATAAAGATCTTGCCCTCCAGTTCTATGGCCAAAATGTTTCTATGACCTTTAAACCCTTTTAACCTTTGTTTTACACAAATGTGAGCATCTCAGATCAGAGATTGATTTTTTTTTAACTAAATCTGGATCTTAGTAATTGAGAATTTAACCAGTTTATGAGCTTAATTCACCTCCATTTCTGTCAACATTTTAATGAAAATTTTAATGCTTCTTTGGTGTTTTTCTTTTGCTACTTTTTCTTAGTTTTTCACTTCCAGAAACTTTGAATGTGTATATTCTATTTTTGCCCACAACTTCATGACAAACTGAGTCATATGAACTCCCATCTGATGCAGTAATAACCAGTTTTCCCAATAGTATTTCAAACATCCACCCCTCTCCAACCAGTGCTCTGGAAATTTTCTCCTTACATTATCAGTATTAACATTATGAACTTGCTAGTCTTTTTTTTTTTTTTTCTTTTTTAGGAAAACAAAACTGTACCGTTTTCCAATTTTGTCAGATTAACATTTAGAGAGTCTTAACTCTACTTGTCCTTTCTACAGTGACAAAACAATTTTATCTATGTAACATACATTTGGCTTAACAACATGCATCTTTATTTTTAATGCTACACTACAAAAATAAAACAGTATTTATTTGCCCAGTGCATTGAATATTTGCATGCACTTTCACAGTTCAAAACTATATAAACTGAAAATTTTAGAACTAGCTTACAAATCTATTTTTACATTTAGGTTTATTACCCTATATGTAACAATTTTAGACATCATGGTTCTTAAGTAGTTTAAATGATTACTAGCAAGTCTTTCATACAATTGCCTTTCTACTCCTTAATTTCTCTGTTGACTGCAGCAAATGACTCAGCAAACTTTTCAGAGGAGGTTCTTGGATGGTATATGTTCTTAACCCCTCGGTGTCTGAGAATGTTTTCCAGTTGCCTTCATACTGAAATACTAACTTGGGAGGGCATGTAATTCTGGTTCCAAATTATTTTCCCTTAAAACTCTATAGATGTTGTTCCATTGTCTTCTGGCATTTAGAATTGCAAGAGAAAAACCAGAGTTCAGTTACTAGGATATGTCTAGGTGTTGCTTTCTTCTCATGAAAATTTACAGGTAGCCCATGAGTCTTTTTCATTTGCAGGCCTACTTCATTCTTCAACTCTGGAAATCTTCTTCAATTCATTCCTTAACTATTGTTTTAGTTTCATTTGCTTTGTCCTATTTCAGGCTCAGTAGTACCTTGGTTGGTGAATTTAATCCGTTCCACGATGCTGGTGAAGATGGCCCTGGTCATGTTTGCCACTCACGCAGAGTTGGTGAACAGAAGCAAAATTTTCCTGATCACTTATGTTGGGAAGCTGAATTGTTCGAGAACAGAAGCGTTCATGAACTGAGGTAATACTGTATTCTCATTATGTGTAGATTGTATCTCCTGGACAGGCCTTTTACATCGCTCTTCTCCTCTTTCATGTCTTAATTTCTTTGGCCTTTTTATCTGCATTCTATGAGAATTTCTCTTGTTTTGCATTTATTTCAGTAATTTTGTTTGTGATTGATTGTGCTTACCATGTTTCCTTTAACTCTAAAGTCTGAGAAATCTTCCATGTGTTCTAAGACCACTTGCTTTATAATTAAGCATGGACAGCTAATGAACTCTCTTATAAGATGTTTAACATTTTCTAGATCATTTTTGGAGACTGGTACACCAGTTTCAAGAGGATGTAGTTTCTCAATTACTTAGCTCTGTTCCTTTCTTCTGAACTGTGGTATTACAACCTTTTCAATGGTTCTTCTTTACAGTGGGGTCCAAAAACATGGTCTTCCCCAAATGTTTGTATCTTGATGTGATGGCTATCCACTTGACTGGCCTGGGAGTTGCTCAGGGGATTAATAAAGCACACTGTATCTGGGTAGGTTGGGGACCATGTCTGGTCCTCACTTTTCCTTTCTGGTGCTGTTCCCCTGCTCATCTTCCCTACTCCCATGAACTAAGCAGTTCTGCTTTACCATGCCCTTCTCCATGATGTTCCTGACGTGGAGTCAGGTGACCATGGATTGAATCCTGCGAAACTGAGCAAAAATAAATCTTTGTATCTTTAAATTGTGTATATCTGGTGTCATATTGCAGCAATGGGAGAGGAGACTAGTATACCCATTAAAATTTATATGTTGATATTCTAACCCCTCATGGGCTGATATTAGGAGGGGAGATTTTGGAGACACGACTGCATCCTAAGTGTGGAGTCTTTATGAATAGAATTAGTGGCTTTATAAGAAAGGCTTCAGAAAACTGTATTTCTTTTTTCACCATATGAAGATACACAGTCTACTACCCAGAAAAGGGTCCTCAAAAGCAGGATAAAGTGTCAACTTGATTGGCTTTGGGATTTGCAGAGATTGGTGGAGCATACTTTTGGGTGTGTATGAGTGGGTCAGGAAGGCATGGTTTGGGGATCTGTGTCAGGTCCTTGGCCCTTTCTCGTTTCTCTGTTTCCCAGCCTCTATTAACTAAGCACCTTTGTTCTGCCATTCCCTTCTACCATGATATTTCTGCCCTGGAGCCAGCCCACCATGGACTGAATCCCCTGAAATTGTGAGCCAAATCAAACCTCTTCTAAGTTGTGGGTGTCAGGTACTATGTCTTAGTGACAGGGAAACTGATGAATACACACCCCGACCTCAGATTTTAAACCTTAAGAGCTCGAAATTTCTGTTGTTTGTAAGCTGCCCCTGTGTGGCACTCTGCTATAGGAGTCCAAGTTAACTACAACAGGGATCCTGCCCTTACACTCAATATCTGTCTTGATGTAGGTTATTGCTTCAGTTCCACCTTTCGATCTCAGGCTAGGGGCACCCTCTGCCTTGTGACCTAGACCCTTCAGGGGCATCTGCAAATGGGCCGGGTATACTGTGAGTGCTCCCTCTGCTTCCCCAAAGATGTTTTTATGCCCAAATACCAGTTACTGTGTTTCAGAGATCTATGTATAACTGGCTCAAACTCTCTCACTAAGCCAATGGCTCAAAGAAGTTCAGAGCTCTCTGAATATTTACAAACTTATGGGGATGAAGATACTAATGGATCTCTCTGGTCCTGTTTTCACTTATACTATTTCTATACATCCTATTTTTTCCCTCAACAGCATGGATCAATCATAGCCCCTGTATCTTAGGCTGTTTTCAGTTGCTGTGATAGAATACCTGAGACTTGGTAATTTATAACAAAAAGATTTATTTCTTACAGTTCTGGACACCAGAAAGCCCAAGATCAGGGGCTGCATCTGGTGAGAACTTTCTTGCTGCTGGGGACTCTCTTTAGAGTTCCAAGGTAGTACAGGGGATCACATGGTGACAGAGCAAGCAAGCCAGAGAAGGCTGGCTTTTATAACAATGCCACTCCTGTGATAACCCATTAATCCATTAACCTATATATGGATTAATTCCCTCACAAGAGCAGAGCACTCACGACCCAATTACTTTTTTTTTGGTACCAGGGATTGAACTCAGGACCTTGAGCTTGTGAGGCAGGTGGTGGCACCACTGAGTTAAATTTCCAGCCCTAATTACTTCTTAAAGTTCCATCTTCTCCCACTTCTTAGTACCTCACAATGAGGATTAAATTTCAACATGAATTTTGGTTCAAACCTTGGTTGGTTTCCTATGTTAGTTTCCACTGTAAACCCTCTATTGCCAAATGTTTTGTGAGTGTGTACATTCATTTTACTGAAGACTTGGGGTTGTAGGAATGGGTTCAACACCCCACCACCACCATTTTGCTGGCTCCATTCTCTTCTCTGGAAAAAAGAGAGCTCAGAGAACTCTCTAGCTCTTTCCACCGTGTGAGGATGTGAGAAAGTAGTAGTCTACAACCCAGCAAGGGCCCTCACCAGAACCCAATGGTGCTGGCAGTTCTTTCTCTTTCTCCCCTCTCCAAACCTCCTGCTTAGCAATCTGCACTTGTCTCATAGCTGGACCATGTCCATAGGTGAGAGGATGGCGTAACTCACCCTGCCGCCTGAACAGACTTATCAGAGTATTTCTTTGGAAAACATACAGGGCTTTTGTTCACAGGGATCTGGCTGTGAACACCTCCTACATACAGACATCGGGTCATGCCAGTGAGCCCTGAGGCATGGTGCCCGGAGCTCCAGGAGCCAGGCTGCAAGGACCACCTTCCCTTCGCTGGAGCCCAGACTCCTCTTCAGTGAAGTGTGTGGGGGTGCACTAGATGACCTCCAAGTTCTCAACCATCTTCTGTGGCTGTGGTTCTCATTGGGGTTGGAATTAATGGAGAAGGAGGCAGGAGACAGCTGGGAAAGACTTGGAGGGTGGAGGTAGAAAAATTGAGATGGGGAGGGTTATTTATGGCTTTACTAACTGATTTCTAGGCTGATTCAGCAGCATTCCAGTGACACCTGCTGATCCTCTGGGATGGCTAGGGAGTTTCAGTAACTGATTTCTCAACAGCAGTGAGGTATCCCCTCACAACATACAGTCCCAGGCCACTGCTCCCAACTGCCAGGCTGTGAAGAAGAGCTCTGACTTCCACCACTCACTGATAGTGAGGGTAAAAGTGAAAATACCCAAATTCTTGAGATATCAATCAGGCAAGATGCATCATTGGTAAATAATTTACATAAAGATTCAGGGAAGGATATCAGAAGCTTTTACACTTGATCTTAGCCAAAAGGCTGAGAAGCAATCATCAGAAGCTTTTAGTGCTTTGGAAGCCTCAGAAGACTTGAAAAAAGTTGGTTGACAACTACAAAAGCAAAGCTATAAGGTTTTCTTTCTTCTCTCTATTGGCTTTATTTTTCAGGTCCATTAGGGAAATCAAAGAACAGCTCTAAAAAGAGAGATTGGACATAAAAAGGCCTTATAGTGATGGGCTTAGATCATTGAAGGCTACTTTTGTTTTATAATAAATATCCAGTGTGTTTAAGGGAACAGCAAAGGGAGTTAGGGGCACAAATAAAAGTGTTCTGCTAGTCAGTCTGTCTTGGTGGAACATTTGACTGAGGCAGCCAGTATCCTTGGAACCTTAGGAGATTTACTTGATCTCTTCAAACCTTATGTGCCAAATGTAGATAATAACGGTGACTACTCCATTGTGTTGATGAGAAGCTTTAATGAGAGAGTCCATGCCAAGGCATAGAGCAGTGCCCAGAACGCCTCCAACACCAAGTCCATAAACTCTAGCATTTTTACCTATTGAGCTACTCTAAGAGTCCTAGTAAAAAAATCCACAGTCTCTCCCTCTATATCCTTCTAATTGCTTGTAAAACAGTGGTTAGAATCCTACTTCCAGGAAAAATTGATTGTAAAACAGTGGTAAGAATCCTCTTTCTAACAAGAATCCTACTTCTAGCAAGATTCACCAAGGTGATTTCTATACGTTCACAACAGCCAGCTTCCCACAGTATAGAGGGCAAATTCATTCCAATGTATTCAAAATTCAATTTTCGGCAGCCCACATTTTGACATGATTTAAGCTCTCTTATAAAGATATTTCTAGCAGAGAATAGATGGGGAATAAATGTCAGGTTCAGACATGCCTGATTTTGGACTTTCCCTATGTCGTAGAACAACCATATTACAGCAAGTTGCCTAATTTGTCTAAGATCCTGAAAAACGGGGATAATATTGCTCCACAGAGTTTTTGTGTAGACTGGGAGATCACAGATGTCCAGCCTGGAACACAGTGCTTGGTCCATTGGAAGGACTCAATATCCAGCTGCTTAGCGTTTTGCTCTGTGGTGGGGACATGGAAGGCAGATTCCTTTTTGACTCCTCTAAAGGCTCTCCAAAGTCACCCCTCCCTTTTGCTTCATGAGTCAACAATTCCCTGGCAATAGAAAGTAGCTCTGAGGAGAAGTTGGAAACAGTGTTAATGTAAAGAGTACTGGACTGAAAAAAAATTTAAAATCAATTTTAACAGATACATAAAACTGTACATATTTGTGGAGTACCATGTGATTTTTCAAGACTTGCATATAATGGTGTAATATTTAATCAGGGCTAAACATATCTATCTTTGCCTAGAGACCTTTATTTGGTTCTGTATTTACCACTTATTGGCTATGTGACCTGGCAAATGTCATATAGCCTTTCTGAGCTTCAGGGGCATGTGGAGACAAAATAATCAACTTCATAGGTTTGTGCTAAGAGTGAAAAGAGATGTTTGATGAAGTGTGTGGTAAATCACTGTGCATTATAAGACCATCAGGGGTATCATGCTGTTGTCCTAATACCCTTGCATCCTTTGCCTCAAGATCTTTGGACATTATATACATTTCATATGTTGATATAAACCACCCTTCTGTATCACCCTATTTTAGTGGGATTTTCCACAGTTATTTGAAAATGATGGCTGGATCTTGTTAAATATCTTTCTCTTACCTTGGAAGGGAGAGAAATGGATGCTATTCTCTCCGGTTGGGGGGCTTAGTTAAGAATCTTATCTTTCAGCTTCCAGGGGAAACATTTGCTGTGTGATTATTGTATGTATTTGGAAATCTACTGAGCTTTCTGTTTTCAGTGCGAGTAGCAAGAACTTTGGGAGCTGAAGCTTCAGAAACAGGGTCTGTCCTCTCCTAAATCATTCCGCTTTGCTCATCCCCAACACACCCAAGCTTCCTGACACATCGAGGCCACAGCAAGGGCCTCTGGAGTCACAATTGAATCACAAGGAACCAATGAGACTTTGCTCTCAAGCCTCTGAGGAGAATCTTGCCAGGGGCTTGCGGAAATGCAGGGAAGAGCTGGGTTTCTGGAAAGGCTTGGACCATTTTCCCTGGGTCTTTCCAAAGGACTCTGGCACAGTACTGAGAGGATACAGTGCTCACTAAAGAAATGTCAAGAAGGAGGGAAGTCAGAGGAGCTCAAAAAGTCCAGGAAAAGTGAGAACTGGCCTACTCATTTGCTAATACTGAAGGGCCCCTGCAGAAACTCCTTGTTCTAGTGCTTTGGGACCCCAGAGCCTCAGGTTGCACATTTGGGAGGCACCAGTTACATTGTGTCCTCTGAGCTTGTGCAGAGGGCGCGTTCACATAGCATACAATTTAAATGGTGCTCCTAGTTTTTATGCAATAGGATTTGGACCCAATCCTACAAGAGCCAAACTTCTCGTCCCCAACAAAGCTTACATTCTTGCAGTAGTTTTCTCCTTACAATGTGCCAATTTCTACCGTAAACAAACCAATGCACAAATCAAACATTTTCAAGCCCCAGCCCAAATTTCCAGAAGGATGTTACATGATATTATGCTTCCAGATGTGCACCAGTCATAACTCTTGTTTGCAGGGAGGGTGTATTTATGAGAAAAGCAGTTACAGTAAAAAATGTATTAAAAGTCATTAATTTTCTTCTTTTCCATTTGATTTGGGCATAACAATTCTCAGTATCTGTTCTACCTGAAGAGTATTAGGAAAATTATGAGAGAAAGTAAACCGGTACTTTACTTTTAAGTAGATGCCAAAGTCATCTCTCTGCCTCAGGGTCTCCAGATAAAACACAGCAGCAGAGTAGTTCAAACAGTACATCTGGTGGCTCTGACAGAGGCTCCCACGGAAATACTGCAGAGGAGAACAGACGGAAGTTAGGCGGAGCCCTGGGCCTGGGCAGACTTCCACTTTCTCTGCACTTTTATCATTAACTAAAAGCGGGGGAAATGAAGGAGCCACCATGACCACGCAGGAGCTATGTCTGTGTGGATATAAACAGGTCATCTCCACAATACATTCTTTGTTTTGGTACCGGGGAGTGAACTCAGGACCTTGTGCTTGCCAGGCAGGTGTGGTGTCACTGAGTTAAATCCCCAGCCCTCCACAATGCATTCTTTTTAAAAAATATGGTGTTCTCATAATAAAGTTAACACCTCAGTGGACAGTCTTTTCCCCCATACTTACAGGAAATTCTATTTGGGATGTTTTAATTCTTCTCTTTCTCTTCTGCTATCTTTGATTCCATTGTCTCTGTTAGTTGATGTTAAGCTTGTATTGATATTAAGTAATTAAAGTAACATTTAACTTTTCATCAGATATTCTCCAAAATACCCCCAAATTTGATTGTCCTCTCTTCTAAAACATATAGGAATCTGGACCATCTCGGTTAAGTGTTCTGTATTTGGTGGCATGCATTTTTTCATAGTCTTACCCAATCTAACTCTCTTTTTCTCTTTTCTCCAGTATCCTTATTTAATAATGCCTCAAGCTTGCCAAGATGACTACACATTTGTAAGCCACCTCAAATTCGTTTTAGAATAAGGCCAATTGTCAACTTTTCTACATATATTCGTATAGTTAATGATCAAACACCACGTTGTACAATGTGGCACCAATTCAGTCAAATGCCTTTGAGGGGAATGATGATTATGCTGTACTCTCCAGCAGTACTTCTGGCTCATTACTGGCATACACTTCCTTTAGCATCCCACAGTGTCTACCATGGTACTAAGGCCCATGCCCATGGATAGATTTATTGATCAACTGAATGTCATGGGTCCCATGAAGGGATTTCCAGTTGTATCACAGTTAGGTGGAATCAGGGGAGGAAGACACACTTCCTGGAAATGCTACAGCGACTGTGAGTAGCGGAAGCAGACCCAGCCTGAGAGGCCGCTAAAGGATAGGACAGTAAAGAAATCAGATATAACACAAATCTAGAAAAATATTTTGTTATTGGACCTCTGAGAACAGAATGCTATGGAGAGCAACACCGAGTTTTTGGCTTTTGCAAGAAGTAATTTTAAAGAGATGATATGAGTTTATTTTAGAAGGTGAGTGTTGATGGGTATGCTGAGAAGAGGACTTGAAGGTGAAAAGTTCTTCCCTCTGGACGTTGCAGTGCCTGAGAAATGCCATGCCTACGAGACCACTGTCAAGGAGCTGAGTCATTAATTGTCTGGCTTAGAAAACCACTTCCAACACCCATTAGCTGAGGACCTTAGCCACTTTATCTGCTCTCTCCGGGCCTCGGTTTCATTTTCTGTGACTCCCACGCGTGGCTCATGCGTGATTACAAGGTGTCCCATTCTTCCAGCTGGTGAGCTTCTTCAGAGATACTGCGCTAGACGGGTCGCCTTTCCCGTGTTTCCCCCTCCTGGGGAGGATTCTGTCCCTCTCCCCTGCAGGTAAGCTTGGCCAGGTGACTTCCTCTAGGCCCTGAAATGGGGAGAGATTCTGCAGAATTACCATTAAGTTCTGCTGCTGCTGTGCTTCACGTCTCTGAGCCCAGAGTTTTGTGGTCTGGATGGTGGGCTTGGAATTGAGAAATCTTGAGATTTTAACTAATTCCCCAAACTTTACATTCTTTTTCTTGTTTTCCAAAGTTTCAAAAATTTAAGTGTGTTTGTAAAGTTCACTAAGGGTGAATTGGGTGCTTCCAATTCCATCCTTATTTTGGCCTTGTTGAAACTCCTCCGCCTTTGCAATCTCTTCTTTCGGTAGCATTGTCCCGGGACACCTTTCCTGCCAGTAACTGCCTCACCTTCCACCCAACCTAGAAGGCCTCCTTTGTTGTGTGCTTATAGCGTCTATGTTCTTTTTATTCTGGAGTATTGATCTCAATTTGATTATATAACCATTAGTCCCATTATTGTACTAATCCCACCAATAGGTTGAAAATCCCTCAAGGGCGGGGGCTTGTCTAATTTTGCCCATTGTAAGTGCTCAATAAATATCAACCTAGGTTTTTTTTTTTTTAGTGTAGTATAAAAATTCAACTCTTGCTAAATGAGACTAGACAGGGATTGAATTGAAAAAGTTAAAGTAAAAAAAGTTGGAGATGTCCAAATATCTATTCAAGAGAAAAGTAGCATTTATCAAACCAGGGCTTTAGATCTTCCTCTTTTCTCCTCATTTAACAAACTGAAATATCATCAAAGGCACAGGTGTATTTTGCTCCTCTGTGAGAGACTGACACTTTCTTTTAGAAGAACAACTGAACCATGTAATTAGTGAGTGCTAAACTATTGCTACAAATATGGCTTTAAATTGGTCATTTGAAAAGCAGACTTGAAAAGGCTTTTCCATGCATGCAGATTTCTGTGCTAGTAAAACCTGCAGGAGATGTGACAATGGGAAAACAGAATCCGCAAGTTATTTTTGAAAATGTTGATTGGTGCAGAAAAGGAGGGTTCCTTTGCGGGAGCTTGGTGACTGAATTTTCCAGGAACAACAGTAACAAAATCAAGTAGCTACAAACAACTGTCCTGGGAGCGGGTAAGCTCACCTCACAAAGCTGAGCTCCCCTAGGAGGATTTTTACCTTTGTGAGTACAGAAATGAAGTCCATCAATGGCAAAGCCTCAGATGCGTCTACGTAGTTCTTGATGATGCTGAAAAGACCGTTCACAAAGCCAAGGCTTGTCTAGGATCGGAGAGAAAGAGAAAAGGAATAGACACACACTCAGGGCCAACGAAGAAAAATCTACTGACCTTCAAATGCCAGTCTTACAGATGTTTCCCATTTCAAATTATCTGCTAGCAAAATTCAAAGATTATTTCCCTCCACCCCCCAGTGCATATTTTCTTATAAGATTTTAATAAATTATGTAGCTATCTCTCTTCCTTCCTTTTGAGAAGAAAGATATCTTATTTCTAATATATGTGAAAAAGGATGTTCGCTTACAAATAAGCATTTATGAAGACAATAAGTTCTGTGGAATACATCTTTCTTAAATAGCCGTGGAAAAATGAAAAAATGAGGGTTAGCTAATATCTATGATCTTCTGGGAAGATATCAACAGGTGCTCAGATGCACTCCTTATAAATCTGAATTCCTGACATAAGATGATGTGGGAACACAACATGGAATGTCATATTCAATACTCCAATATGGATACAGTCATAGGTAACTCCAAGCATCAGTTTCCATGATCCTCTGGTGAATTTTAAAACACCATTGCTGACATCTTTCTATTTTGGCTCACCTGAGTTAACTCCTCCAGGTTTGCAAAAAGTCTCCATAAATCCACATCCAGAAGATACTCATGATTTTGCAGATATTTTAGTGTATTCATAAAGATCTTCAAAAAATAAATGCACGTTATTTTTTGTATTTAAATTCTGAAGCATGCCCTGTGATTCAACATAAACTTAAGCTAAACTAAACTAAACATAAACTTTAAACATAAACTTCCTGGGTATGACTTTACAAAACAATGTAGCAATCAGTATTCCCAAGGCTTAAGAATTGTTCAATACAAATCATGACATTGAAGCTTCATAGAACACACTGGAAATGTGGTGTTTAGTATGAAAGTGTTGTTATGTGAACATTCCTGTTGAAACCAATCTGTCCAAATGGGCTTCCTGGGCTTCATGCTGCCAAGGAAACCCCAGAGCACCGACAGCATCAACCTGAGAGCAGAAACGTCCTCATGCTGTGTTCTCATTCCTTCCTCTGGAAAAACCCAAATGGCCTTTACTTTCAGGGAATTCAAAGTAGAGAATTAGTGAGTTAATATCTGATAACCAATAGGATGTTTCCTCTTGGACAAGGGTGTTAAATATTAATGAATACATTCAAGGAGTCTTGGTTATTATTCTTTGATTTGATGCTTTCAACATCAGGGGAACTACACAGCAAGCCAAGAAAGAGAACTGCAATTCACACAGAAGACCTGCTCCTCATTTCTATAAACGGAAGAGCGAACAATTAATTGAAAAGTGAATACTTTATATATACAGTGGTGGCTGGGTTCGTGGATGTAATTCGTTCCACGGTTCTGGAGAGGATGCCACGGTCATGTTTGTCACCCAGTGCGGAACTTGAGAGCAGAAGCAAAATTTTACCTAAAGCTTCTGTCTGCCAACTGAATTGTGTGTGAACAGAAGCGTTTGTGAACCAAGGTATCACTGTATAAGATGGAGAGCCTTGGAAGGCACAAAGAGACCAACTATTTCAAGAACTGTAGGTGGACTATAGACAGCTGTCCTCCAACTCTCACTCTACATTGTTTAATCAGCGCCACAAGTGGCTCTCGGACATGGATCAGTATCTGTTGAGGCCTCGTTAAAACATAGCTTGCTGGGTTCAATCCTAGAGTTTGTGATTCCCTAAGTCTGTGAGGGGGTTTAAGGGCATCTAACAAGTTCCCAAGTGACTCCAAAGAGGCTGGTCTACAGCCATGTCTTGAGCAGCACTGACAAAGGGCTTCCCAAATCCACATAGTCTTGGGCATCTGAAAATCTGTCACTTCAACCCAAGCATCTGAAACAGCTAATTGTCAAGAAAACCAGAACAGATCAGAACAGCCCACCTGGGACAATTTAAAAGAAATATTCTTTTTGCTGTGAGATTCAGGGCTTTACAGAAATTCTTTGTCATGTTTTTTTTTTTTTTAACCGAGTCTACAAATATACTGAGTCTACAAATGCACTACAAAAATACTGAGCCGACAAATATATTTACATTGCTATGTGAATTACCAGTTTTGAATCCATAGGCAACTTTGGGAGACTCATATTGTGCAAAGCAAAGTGCACATTACTTAAATACACTGGGGACATGTGAAAATAAATTCAACTTCCTTAAACAGAAAATGTTAGTTTGAAGAGCCTGGGCAGCTACAGTGTGACAGAAAGTTCTGTGGCAGTTCCTTGTGATGGGGGGGAGACAGGATACTCAGGGGTTAGTGCTCTGAGGGAGTCATTCACCGGGGGACACCAGCTTCAGTGCTACCCTTCCCTAACCATAGCCTGGGGTTCACTTTAGTATCCCCCCCCACCCCTTCCTGGAGCTGCTTTGGTCCCAAGGGTTCAGCAGAGTTTGCCCCGTGCTGCGCCCTGACTGCCGCCTTAAGCCAGCTGCTGCTCCTTCCTCAGCCAGCTGGAGGAGTTGGCACAGGAGCGGGCACAGCAACAAGCTGGGCTATCAGAATGAATCACCGGGCTTTTGCTATATATGGGTTCTTTCTCTGTTCTCTCCTCTCTCTTTCTTTCTCTCTCCCCATGAGCTGGAGGACAGCAGCCATCAGGTGCCTGTAAAAGAATCAGTCATAGTATGAGGGGAATGCCGCGGAAGCAGGGATGAAACATGGAAAGAAATTTTTCCTTGATTTTGAGCCCCTTGATGGAATCAACGTGAGTTCTCCCCAACATTGAACTTTCCAATCACATGGACCCATAAAATCCTGGATTATTTAAGCTAATTTTCTGGTACTTGCTCTTATAAGCATCCTAACTGATGTGGAGTTTCAATTTTCTCATAGGCTGTCTCTGTGACTTAAATTTTGTTAAGTAAGGTACTTAGTACACTTACGTGGCATTTAATAGAGAGCAAAGAGAATTCATTTGATCATCACGATCATTCAAGAAAATGACCAGAGATGTTGTTTATCCTTCCCTTTTTATAGTTTAGTACAGGGATTGTCAAACTACAGCCTGCGGGCTGTAAATCTTCATTGCCACCTAGTTTTGTAACTTATGTTTTATAGTGACATAGTCATACACAGCCCTTTATGTATTATCTATGACTGATTTTGTACTGTAATGGCAGAGTTTCAACAAAGATCACATGGTCCGCTGAGCCTAAAATATTTGCTATCTGCATCGCTGTAGCTTGAATGTGTCCTGTCAAAATGCAGGTGTTGGGAACCCAATCTCCAAAGCAAGAGGTTGAAGGTGGGACCTACTGAGAGGTAATGAGGTCACGAGTGGGTTAATGCCATTAACATGGGAGTAGCTCATTATCTCCAAACTAGGCTTGTTATAAAAGTGAGGTCAGCCCTTCATGACTCTTTTTGTGACCTCTTTTGCATATGGTGCTTTCCACAGTGTTATGATGTAGCAGGAAGGTCCTCATCATCTTGAAATTAGCTTTCCAAACCATGAACACTAATCTCTTTTCTTTACAAATGCTGTGGTATTCTCTTACTGTGATCCAAAATGGACTAAAACATGGACCCTAACAGAACATGCCGCCCAACCTCTGGTCTGTTTAGGGTATGGAGGACTGGACTTTCTGAAGGTCATATGCAGGTCAGAGGTAGATCCAGGGAGTAGGGTCAGGTCTTCCCCAACAATGAGTTTTAGCTGTGAGCATCTTGGAATCAAAAGGAACTTGCGATCATAATGTGAAGTGAAATAAATCAGACACATAAGCTTAAATGTCATATAGTTTCTTAGACATGAGACACCCAAATTATAAATAAAGGACAAAATAAAAGATGGATTATCGGAAGTAAAGAGATAGATCTTTCTCAAATGGGAAGGGGACCAAGAGTTAGCGGGAGGGAAAGGGGATGAAAAAAGAATGCAGATGTGTTATGCACACATCCCAGCTCCCCATGATGAATGTAATCATTATGCACTGCAAACATACTAATAAAAATGAAAATTGAAAAACATAACAAAAGTATTATGGACATATTAAGGGCACCTTGTGAGCCACCTTGCAGTCTAAGAAGGAAGCTGCTGCCTTCCTTCCCTTTCTCTGTGATTATCCTACAAGGGATTCTCGGCCCTGAGCTTCCCGGACCAAGGCGGCAGAGCCCTGTTTATACAAGGACATCACAAATATGCTACTCTATGATCCAACTGCACCGCATCAGGCATGCATGGCAGCCCCAGAGATCTGTGGCTGCACTTGTTAAGCATTCACCTGGCTTGGTTCCTGAGGGAGCAGAGCTCCTGCAGGGGAAGTGACCAAGGTGGGACCGGGCTGCCTTGAGGGTGGCTTGAGGGCCCAGATGCAGGAGCTCGGAAATACAGATGAGAGGGAGGCAGAGGACGTTCAGACAGCAGACGGAAAGCAGAGGAGTTCATTAAGCCTGGAAGATCTCATCCAACCCTGACAGGCTATACTTAAGAAAGGAATTAAGAGACAAGTAGTCGATACATAAAAAATACAGATAAAAATTTCTTCAAGATCCTCATAAAGGGGGGAAAAAAATCCCCAAACTTTCTTTTTTGGCATGGAAGAGAAAAAGAAGTCCCTAAAGAACCAAATTACTGTTTTGCATGTTGCACAAAAATGAAAACCAGCATTACCATCTTCAGAACTAATAAATGGTCCAAGAAATAAGTGCATTCACTCGTGAAAAGTTCCCACACAGCCTCTTGCTGCTTTCTTAAGTCTAATTGATCAGTAGGGACTTTTTGATGTGTTTCCATGACTTCATTCCAGGTCTTATCCTGCACACGAGGAGAAAAGAGAGAACAGAACGTTTCCACTTCAGTGGCTTGCCCGTCTACTGTGTGCTTTGGCTTCCAACCTGGCAGGAATCCTGGGCTCCCTGTGGGCAGCACCCCTCCCCCCAGCCACCCAAACCACAGCTCCCGTGGCTCAGAACTGCCAGTCCCTCCCAAAGCAAAGCACGAGGAGGCTTTAAATTGAAAAGAAATTCAAACTGATGTCACATGGAATTATGCTTGACAATTTCATGAGTCCTTCTAGTCTAGTTTAGGGCTCAAGGAACTTTACACTTAGAACTGGAAAGTCTGATTCCAAGTTCCTCTGTCAAAAGCTTGTTGAAATTAACTACTGATGACTCATGATATAAAAGTGTTGGCACTCAAGGAGACCTTGGAAATATTTTATCCAAAATTATGTGCTTTTCACATGAGGAAATTGAGGGCTGGTGAATGTACCCAATTGTCCCTTAACGATGGGGATGTGGTCTGAGATACACACTGCTAGCAGGTTTCAGAGTTGTGTAACCATCACAGTGGGTACTTACACAAACTCTAATTACAGTGTCATTAGGCCATATCATTTTATGAGATCACCATAGATGGGGATTGTTACGGATAGAAATGTCATTATGAGCTGCTCGGCAGTATTAACATTTCTGTAGGGCTTTGTGGCCTGCAAAGTGCTCTTCTAGCCATTACCTCGTTTCACAGAAGGTGGCTTTTCCCAGGGCTCTCTGTCCTGCCCAGCCCTGGCAAGGTTCTTTCCCTGCACCTGGCTGTTATTATGAAGCAGGCAATCATAGGACAATTTAAAATAAAGACCCACAGAAACAAATAAGCACCACAAGAAAAAGGAAAAGCTATGTTCCACAGTCAACAAACCGCTTAGTAAACTATACAGTACCTTTAGGCTGCAAAACTCATAGACCCCGAAGTCTCTGATCTTCACTGAAGAGAGGCAGTTTTCCAGATCCGTTATGTACTTGTGTTTGTCTTTGCCCTGCTTAAAGATCATTAGAAACGGCATGAATTGTTTAATGACACGATTTCAAACCACTCACAGACCCGGCCACTTTATGGCACGAACTGTTCCAAGACCATTTCCAAGCCAGTCCAAACCCCAGGACCACAGCATGTCAGAGAGGGAGGACAAGGCTCATGAAGGTGTGTACCCCAAACCTCTCATCTTACTAAGAACAAATAAACAAACAAACAACTCTGATGCACAGAATGGGCACAGAGCAAATAGTTGGGCTCCAAGTCTAGCACCCGCCCCGTGGAGTGATTACCTCCTTCAGTTTTCCAAACTGTGGACTCCAGAATATCAGCACAAGAAAATCCCTCAGACATTAGTTAAACCTCTCACTAAGTGGCTGATTAAATAAAGCCCACAGTGCTAACGAGACTTGCCCAACATTGTAATTCCCTGCTAGAGTACCAGAACATTCTAGAAACTCCAGCTTTCTTGGAAAGGAACTACCCAATTATTTATGTTATTGTCTTTATCCTTAATAATATGTGTTTTTAAAATCTGATGACAGATATTATACTATCATTGCAAAAAATTGAGAAACAAACAAAAACAATAAAAATTAAAGCCACTCATAATCCAGACTCTCAGAAAACCATTGTAAACATTTTTCTGATAATATTTGTAATTAATGTTTAAATGCTATCATCTTTACACATCCTTCTGCAACTTATATTGTGAGCAATTTGGGATGGATTCATCAGTGTTTTACTGCACATCCTGAAACACCCACTCGGAGTTCAAGTTACCAACCAAACTAGGAAGAAGCTATCCAATAACAACAGGTCTGGCTTTCTAAAAGCCACCTTGGCTGCGTTTCAGTGGAATGTTTATCACAAATAATTTTTCAGCTTGTTCTGTTGCTGAGGATGCATGATGCTGGCGTAGCTCCATCAGGTTTGGTGCAAGTGAACCAGCGTTTTGTTAATGAGCAGAAGAAGGTGCAAGCTGTCCTGGGGAGGGCCCAGAGAGTCCCAGTGGAGACCCTTCCTGGGCTTCCCACTATGCTGATCTCTGGTCACCTGTAGCACAGACAGAGGAAACTTTTTATAGACTCTTTAGCCTCCATAGTAGCAAAGCAATCTTGGAGCCAGTTGGAGACCTCCTACGGTAATTGAGACTTATGTCTTTTGTTGATGTCTGAAACCATAGTGACTGCATGTTGTAGCAATAAAAAACTAGCAGCCTGTTGGAAAAGACAGAAGGTAGGACAATGGCAGCAGGAAAGTGGGAAAGCAGGCACCAATGCTGTCCTCTGGAGGGCCCTCCTGGTGGCTTTCCTCGGGTTGGACAAGCCGCTGGTCAAAGTGTGGAAGGAGGAGACACTTCTGCCAGGGGTCACATTAACTCCTCAAAGTCACAGACCCATGTAGGGCCTTGTTTCTTCCACCATGTGACATTGGCCAGGAAAGGCAGTGAGACTATTTGAAGGGACTCTGAGAGGGTGTGGGGATGAGTAAGAGTGAGGAGCCCAGGCTGGTCCTGGTAAGGAGGAGGTAAGTGGAATGGCACTGCAGCGGGAGCTGGTGACTGCACTGCAGTGAACTGGAAGGCTCAGCTTTCATAGATACATTTTGGAGCAATTGACAAAGAGATGGTATTGAATTGGTGAAGAGCATTGAAACATTCCAGTTCTGATGACAGAAAGGAGGGAGGAATATCCGGTCTGATTATGGGGACAGTGGAGTGGTACAAGGTCGGGGCTAGGGCAGACTCACAGCCAGACTGGCCAGGACTGCTGGGGACAAATAGCGGGAACTGCTGCTCCTCAGCTGTGTGATGGCAGGCAAACGATCCAGCCTCTCTGAACCCATCTCCCCATTTGTTAAACAGGGTTAATGTGACCTATCTTGTTAGAGTGCAAGAATTTACACACCGATGTGTAAGCTATGACCTACACAAAAGAAGACACATGTAAACAATGTAAACGGAAATGGTGCCCAGTGCTGTGGCAGCACACACACACACACACACACCCTTTATTACTAATACTGATCATTAGCAAGAAAGGAAAGAGAGAAAGAAGGAAGGAAGGAAGGAAGGAAGGAAGGCACAAACCAGAAAAGTCTGTAATAGATTGGGAAATATGTTGCAATTTAGAAGTGTGTGTGGATTATCATTTAAAAACATATGAATTACTTGATAAGTAAGGCTAAGAAGGTAAAGGAAGCAGATATATCCATTTTAAGGGAACCAAATACTGAGTCCCTGGGAAAATGGGGTCTTAAAGAAATGAAATTTCCTTCCTTCCTTCCTTCCTTCCTTCCTTGCAGAGAATTTTTCCTGAAAATATGATGTCATTTCATTACAGAGGGAGCCCTCTGTATCCACAGGCTTCAATCCATGGAATCAACCTGGCAAAGATCAAAATCAGTCAAAAACAATTATGCCTGTGCTGAACATATACAGACTCTTTTTCTTGTCATTATTCCCTAAATAATACAGTAGAACAACCTTTTGAGTACCACTGACATAGTGTTACATATTACAAGTAGAGATGATTGTAAGGAGGGTATCTAGGCTATATGCAAACACTACACCATTTTATATAAGGCCCTGGAGCATTCTTTCTTGGTGTGTCTCCACCACTGTCTCCCAATTCAGAGTAGAAACCATTTAGCACATTTCATCCCCAATGTATATTTCATTCTGACCTTCTCAATTGGTGTCTTATATCTTCAGCCCAGAACTTGACACATACAGTCACCCAACACACACATTGGAGTAAGTTGCTTCTTTATGGGGCAAATAATAGATCTCTATCGATAGCTTATAGGATATTCCTCCCTTGGCTAAGTTCTTCTCTCCTTCTGCTAAGTTCCTCCCTTTAGAAAGCACACTTGATTTCCCAGGCATCCCTAGAGCTCCCTTTCTTGGAGGAGCCCTTGGAAAGGTTGAGGGAAAGTGAACCTCTCCTGGGATCTCAGGAAGGACTAGTGTCAGGACTAGAACTAGCCCTCATGGGGAAGAAGATGCCCAGGAGGGGCTGGCCCATCTCAGACCCACCAGGACAGAGTCACAGTCTCTGAATAACTGATGGACAACAGCCCTCGTGACAATGATGTCACCATGTTCCTAACAACCTATGATTTGGAGTTCATATTGTTTAGACTGTGTTCCATGCAAATTTCATTTTTGAAAAAAATAATGTGAGACATTAAAATCAGGAACAAGACAAGGATGTCCACT